CTGATAAATGACTCTTCTTCTCAGAAATAAAGTCCAAACAGACCAAACACTGATGTCACACGAACCTGTGTTCAGAGATTACACTGTAAAAATCTCCTCTAATAACAGTTCATTAAAGGCACCTCTGACCTCATAAAGCATCATGTGGTGCAGGTTAACACAGCTCATTCAGTGGAGCTGGATACAGCTGCAGCTGTATGACAGTGATTCAGTGATGGGATCAGTAGAAGACCACTTCATCTTCAGGGTGTCAAAAGTATCTTGGTCACAAACATGTAAGGTGAAAATCTTCATCCTCATCGTCATATTACACTGCTCTGAGTGTGAACACAACAGGCAGCAGACTGAGAGAACATAAGCAACAAACGTTCAGGGAACAGGCCTGACTCTGCCCTGAGCTCTCAGTCACATGACCTCGTTGTTACAGCAGAGAGTCAACATGTTGTGAACCGCTGTTCAGTCTGATGGAGGAGGAGTCTGTAAAGTTCATAGGTCATTATTCAGATGTGTGTTTGTTGTTGTTCACCAGAAACAAACACACAAATGTCTTTAAAACAAGTGTGGTGAGTTCATGTCAGTAGGAAATCTGACAATTCAACCACAGAGCCATGATCAGATAAACCAGCTGTGAGTGTGAAAGAGACAGAGGTGGGAACTGAGGATGAAGCTGCATCTCACACACACTCAAACTCAGCTCTCTCTAATTGAATCCCGCCCCCTCTCTCCTCTGGGACCTGTTACTGTTGTTGTCTCTCTCGGGGCCGCCTGATTGGCTCAGATGTTTATCAGTCATCAGCTCCACACCCACTCATCACTGGCTTATTACTGTGACGGGCCACACCCCCCTCTGACCTCATAACCCCCCAATCAGCATCATGTGTGATACCTGTGATCCTGACAGACAATACTGTGGGAAAACACCCTGCTGTCTCTCACACAGGACGAAGAGGAGGATGAACATGCTTCATCATCAGGTGTTGGTGTTGATGGTATGGAATCCGCCAAGAGTCATATGACAGAAAAAAACATCTGTAGCAACAGATCAATAAGAAAGTTAACAAATCAATATTTCAGATGATCAACATCATAAATATTTGTCTTGTGTTGTTGTTGATGATGATGATGATGATGATGATGAAGCACCTGGAGTATCTCAGCTGTCTGTCTCTGTGTTCCACAGTAAGTGAAGTTCACATTAAATAATTACCACAATAAAAGCACATTTGTCGATCAGCAGCTGTTTTCATTACCCTGATCTTCAGAATAAAAGCATCAAGTCATTTGTTATTTATTCAAAATACATTTTAAATGGTCAGAGAAGACTATCCTAATTTTTTTAATTACATTTATAGATTATTCTATATTCTATATTATTCTATATTATTATTATATATTCATTACATTCTTATTTTTAGTAAATACAGTTTTGTTTTTATTAATTTTTTATTTTAATTTTTTTGATCTCACAACACTGGAATTTGATTTATCATGAAATCTAATGATTTTCACTGTAAGTTATTCATATAATATATATATAATATATATTATATACTCTTTTAAATCCTATCTTCTGTGTGTCGTTTTATTGTTCTCTCTCTCTTTATATTCTGTATTAAGGCCTTTGTATTTACAGTTTTTTTCGATTGCATAAACACTAAAGTCAAAAGTATTACACAATTATCAAAACCTTACACTCACGGAGCAAAACATTGGCCCAGATTTGCACCACTATAAGCACAATGTCAGCCTCACACTTTTTGCAAAACAATACACACAGTGATTTGCAAAACACTAAACACACTTGTGATTAGACACAGAAGTATATCATGATGTCACTTCCTTGCAATTCCAAAGCACTGACTGTTAAATTACCACACCAATGAGCCAATAGGTTAAACACAGCCATCAGGTGCGCAAACACATGATTGCTTGATTGTAGACACACCAATCAGGTTTAAGCAGTATAAAAATGTAACACGTGACTTCACCTGTCTTCAACCAAAATGGAAGGAATCAGAAGAAGAAGAGTGAGGGTGAGAGGGGGAATCCACGGCGGAGGAGAAAGAGGTAGAGGAAGAGGAAGAGGCGGAGGCTGTGTCAGAGGTAGAGGCCGAGGTGGAGGTAGAGGAAGAGGTTACATGTATTTCTTTCTACATAGGATTGAGGGTCGAGAAAGGACAAGGAGGAAGGGCGCCCATATTCACGCAAAACACAAGAGAGAGAGATCATAAACATGGTTCTGGCCAATAATGCTATCAGGCTCAGAGAAATTCAAGCCAACATTATTGGTGACCATGCCATTTTCAATAATATCCATCAGGTCTCTCTGTCAACACTGACACGCATCCTGAAAAGACATCAGGTTTAAATGAAAGAACTTTATCGAGGGCCTTTTGAGCGGAATACAGAGAGGGTCAAACAGCTGCAACATTAACATGTGGAGGTATGTATTGTTCACTGTGATGTTGCATACTGCACACGTAACCTTTTTACATGTAAATTTACTGTATACTAGATCTATGCTGAACGACACAATCTTGTCTTTCACTGTATTTCAGAGAGTTTTACAGATGGATGTTGAGGAAATCCTGCATGAGTTCATATACATAGATGAGGCAGGGTTTAACCTCACAGAAGCAAGAAGGAGAGGCAGAAACATCATTGGCCACAGGGCTATAATCAATGTCCCAGGGCTACGTGGGGGTAACATCACCCTTTACGCTGCCATTACACAGAATGGGGTCCTCCTCCGTCATGCCAATATAGGCCCTTACAACAAACCTCACATTCTCACAGTTTTGGACTGATTGCACAACATCGTCACAGCAGTAAACCAAATGCACCTGATGCAACACATTGTCATCTGGGACAATGTGTCATTCCACCGCTCTGCTCTGGTCCACAACTGGTTTCAACACCATCCACAGTTTACATTACTACACCTTCCACCACACTCTCAGTTTCTAAACCCAATGGAAGAGTTTTTCTCTGCATGGTGGTGGAGGGTTGACAATCTCCGTCCCCAGGCTCAGGTACCCCTCATTCAGGCCATGGAGGAGGCCTGTGACCAAATCGATGCCGCAGCTGTGCAAGGACGGATTCGACATTCAAGACGGTTCTTCCCACGTTGTCTTGCCAATGAGGATATCACCTGTGATGTTGATGAAATTCTCTGGCCAGATCCAGCTAGGTGAAGAGATAATGTCTAGTATTTTCTGTACTGTATTTTCAGTTTTTTTCAGATTCTTTTTTTTTTTTTTTACTGTAATTGTAACCTGTTCTGGACACAGTATTTTCTGTTTGTCTGATATTTGCTGAGCTGACAGTGTTATGCACACGACTGTAGTAGCATGAAAACTGGGACATGTTTTGTTGTGATTCTCCATGTTGACATGTTGACTGATTTGGGTGTATGGAGAGAAATAAATGATAGTTTCATCAGTCTGCAGCAGTGGTCTTGTGTAGTGTTTGGTGAATTTATTGTATATTTGCACTTCCTCTGTGTACTTCACTTACAGTGCTCTAATCACTGAGAAGTAGAATTGCTAAAAGCACAGCAGTGTGTAACTGCTTCAAACAGAATTAAGTCATATGAAACGTGTGTGTTTCATATGGTAACAAAATATGGTTTTTATAAATTAATGTATAGTTTTTACAAGAGTGTTTCATTTTGCAAAGGAACTGAGGTGTTCTGCTAATTGTGTGTAGTGTTTTGAAAAACTGGGCCCTGTTTTCCAAATCGTGCCTAAGCAATTGAAAAAAACTGTAAGCTCTTTGCGTTTCCTTGTTGTTGAATGGTTCAGCTGTTAAACAGTACAATAGTGACATCTGCTGGTCACCCATGGATACGACACCTGGGTTGAAATAGAGAGCTGGTGATGAAACAGTGAGTCAGGAAAAAGTATTTTTATTCTTCAAAGACACATTCAATCAACGGCTCTGAGGGTGATTCAGATTTCACCTGTCTGATGTGACAAACATCTGAAATATGTCTGTAGCTGAAAGTGTGAAGTTTTACAGGATCTCAACTTTCCCTCCATTCATTTTCAGCAGAAAGTTTTTGTGCTGAATCAGCATCAACAGTAGACGGTCACCTCCAGACTTTGAAGATAAGTGAACTCTGTCCTGCTGGTGGCGCTACAGGAGAGACCACATTGAAACCAACATCATGATAAATCATCACAGCCCTTCAGAGTAAAAGCCTATTTTAGCTACTGGTTTGGTTATTCTGTGTTTCAATATTAACTTCTTCTTTAAAGAGATGAAGGTTTGATATTTATAACAGTTATAAATGTTTCAATGGAGCAGCAGAGTTCAGTGCTCTTATTTTGTAAAGCACTTTGTGTTATATTGTTTGGCAGAAAAGTGCTATACAAATAAAGCCTAATTGATTGATTGATTGATTGATTGATTGCCACTGAGTTGCTGCTTCACTGTAAAAAACATCACTGTCACACTGGATAGAGAAAATAATGTGGCTGAACTTTTATTTTAATGAAACACATTTTCAAATGATTTCAAAGAAGTTTTGTGGAATGTGGAAAGTTTGGAACGAATGAGGAAAATGATGATGATATGTGAATGTGATCAGAGTCTGTCTGGCAGTGCACAGCAGCTCAGTATGAAAAATAGTAATGATGTTTACACGTAAGAAAACAAGTCAACAACAGCTGAGACATAAAGTTTCTCTGTTTTAAACTGAACCAAAAGTTGTTTTGAAATTATGAGGAATGATGAAAAAATGAAATAAAGAGTGACCAGAATAAACACCACAAACACCTGAACATGGGGGGGGGGGGAACTAAAGGAAAACTACAGTTGAAACTGGTGTATTTCACCTACATGTGCCTCCACCTCTGCTGCAGAGACTCAGGAACGTGTCGACGTTCATGGTCCTGGATCACAGAGTCCACCTGGTTCAGGTGAGTCACCCTCACAGGTGACAGCTGCTGATCGTAGTGACTCCACTAAGAGACATTCACATGATAAAACACTGGATGGTTGTTTAATGATGATGTGTTTATTCTGATTTCTATGATGTGATGCTGTCTGAGTCTCTCTGAGTAATGAAGAACTCGGCTGTCGAAGAGATGCGTCTGTGAACGCAGTTCTGGGGTCCTGGTCTGTTAGAGTCTGTGGTGTGTTCAGGGCCCTGCAAGCTGGACTTGGTTAAACGTAGGACTGAGTAATTAAAATAATGGGACAAACTCAGTCTCAGATTACAGTAAATGTTATTTAGTGCGAGTCCTCGTTCTCTGCTTCTCTACACCAGAGGTGGAAAGTGTGATGTTAGCTCCGCCCACACAGGAAATCAATCATCATTTTCTTTTAACAGCAGATTTCAGCTTGAACAGACCAGTCACATCAGATTCCTTTAACAGCACACGGGTCAGATCTGTGCAGCGTGGAGGGTCAGAGTCCGTCAGGAGGGAAAATCCTGATCAATCACAGGCCTTCAGATCAATCACTGCTGCTGTCTGATCAATAACTGCTGCTGTCTGATCAGTTCTATCAGCTGGTCTGGAGTCAGTTTACAGTAGTTAAAGCACAAAGTGAAAAACAAGACAAATGAAACTCTTAGAAAAAGAAATAATAATAATAATTATAAACAGAGGAGGGAAATTTGGCGTCAGAGAACATCCTGCTTCTCCATGGCAACAACTTCACCACACTGATGACATCTTCCAACACTTTAAAAAAATATCTATTATCCTGCTCAGCCTCTGGAGCAGCTCAAGCTTTGGCATTTGTCTGCAACAGTAATAACAATAATAATAATAATAATAATTATATTTGGTCCATTTTTCTTCCTCCAGCAGTCACCGGTCAGTCCTCTCTCTCCCAATCCATAATCAATTTCACCTGCAGCCTCCTTACCGATACCTTCCACTCGTCTGATCCAAGCTGGACTCATCTGAACAGAGACACAGATAACTGTGATCAGAACAATCAGCAGATCAATAACTTGATCAGTTTCAACAAGTCACCAAAGTTAAAAACTGAATCAATAATCAGGTTCAGAAACATCAACCTGCAGAGACAAACCCTCAGTCAGTGTTTTTAACAGAGGCTGTCCGTGGTGCATTCAAGGACACTCTGCATTCAGCAAAACAAAAACCAAACAAAAAAAAACAAAAAACAACCAAATAATGTTTATCCTTTCCCAAAAAAACACTGTTTGTCTCTACTGCTGCTCTGTGTGAAATGTGCTCTACACATACAGATGATGCTGATGATGATGATGATTGTTAACAGTCTGATTTCTGGAAGTTTTGGATATTTCTGAACAGACATTAAACCAAACTCCATTCAAAAATCTGTTTTCATGCTTCTCTGCAAATGTAAACACTGAGAAATTTAAATCACGAGTTTTCCTTGAATGCACCACAGAGACCGTTTTTAACCTTCATTAACACCAGACGTGATGATAAAGTAACTTTTACCAAAAAATATAGCTGACTGACATCATTACAGAATGTGCATGTCTCATTTCAGAGATGAAAATAAAAAAGATGGTTCATCGATCAGTTATTGGGCAACAATTTTGAGAATCAATGAATTGTTAAAGATGTAAAAGTTCTCCGGCGTGTCTGCTTTTCTGTGTTTTCTGTCACAGCAACTGAGTCGCTTTGTATTTGGGACAAACATCTGAAAACGTCACTTTGGACAGTGGGATCTTCATTATTTAATATTTATTAATATTTCATTTATAAAACAAAAACGTTAAGTGAGAAAATAATCAGTGATCAATCAGCTCTGGTTAAAGTTGAGTTCAGGATGTCGTCTTTCCCACCCAGCCCCCACTATGAGAAAAATAAAGTTATCATAACAAAGAAGTGTGAACTTCAATTTCAAAATAAAGCAGATATATAAGCTTCAAAATAAGAGTAGCTCCATTATGAGTCACATAAAACACAGAAAAATATCAAACTATCAAATATCAAACTGTTTGTTTATGTTGTGTTCATGTAAAAAACTGAATGTTGTTATTGTCATCAGTTTTCTTTTATTTTCAAATATCTCTGCTGCTGCTGTTGTTGTTGCTGTTGTTGTGTTTTGGTTTTGTTGTGTGTTGACCTCTGACCTGCGGAGGCTGCGAGCTTCATACAGAGTGTCGTCTTCGTCACTGTCCACCGCATCCATCTCCACAGAGTCGTCGTAGTCGGACAGCAGGCCGTACTTCTTCTTGTGGGTGGGTTTTTTCAGCCTGAGCATCAGACAATCATTATTTACAGAAAGATACAGTTTTCACCAGAAACTATTATTAACAGTTTTTTGGATGAACATTAGTCTTAATGCTGCACACTGAATTGAGGAGTGGCCACAAAAAATTTACAAAAGGGCATAAATTGCCTTTTCATAGCACATATACATCTGCTGATACCGAAGGAACTCTTAAATTGCTAAATTTATGAATGAAGTTTGGCTTCACATCAATTCAAATATAATTATTACATTATATTTTTGCATTAATTTGCCAGCTATACTAATACACTTTAGTAGTTCTGGACCTCTGCATCCATGTTGTGCTAAAAAGTAATATTACCTTTATATCAGCTTACATCCTGCCAAACCAGTGTATGTGGGCAGACAGTAAACCAAAATCCATTTAAAAATCCACTGGTTTAATGTTTCCCTGCTTCTCAACAGTTGTACAAACATTGTAAAGTGTGTGTCACGTGCTTTTGTACAACTGGAGGAGCCACTCATCAGTTCACGTAGTAGTAGTATCTGATCTGGCAATACTTATAAGAATTTTCACATTTTGCAGAAGAAAAATAGATATGTATCATGGTAAAATGAAATAGGCACTAATTGAGAAACTTGTGGAGCAATTAAACCATATTGGTGGGAGAGGTGATAGTAGGTGAACCATCTTTGGTGTATGAGATGTATGCTGAGATGAACAGCAGCCACTAAAAGTTAATAAAAGGGCATAAATCCCCTTTTACAGCATCTATACCTCTGCTGATACTAGAGGAAGTATTAAATGGCTACATTTATGAATTAGGTCTGGCGTGACGTCAATGAAACATTAATTCTTTTAAGATTAATCTAATAATCTATCAGCTATACAAATATAATTCAATTGTTTTGTACCCGCCTAATCCATGCTGTAACAACATGTAATATTACCATTACAACAGCTTACATCCTGGCAAACCAGTGTATGTGGACAGACAGTAAACCAAACTCCATTTAGAAATCTAGTAGTTTAATGTTTCATCGCTTCTAAGTAGTTGTACACACTTTTTATAATGTGAATAATGTGTTTTTGTAAATCTGGAGGAGCAACTCTTTAGTTCAGCGTGTATCTGATGTGAGATTATATGTAAAATTTTCCCATTTTGGATAAAAATATATGACTGCGTAGCGTCCGTTCTCATTAAAGTAATTACAGCAGTTCTCACCGCACAGCTCGGATGAGGAAGTAGAAGACTCCGATCATGGTGATGCCGATGAGGACGTACAGGGCCCTCTGAATCATCGAGCTGTCCACGTTGAGGCCGGTGAACGCCACATCGTTGCTCTTACCGCCACTGTGTGTGGAGTTCACCCCGCTGGAGTTGGTCAAAGCCGGTCTGGGCGCCGCGGTGGTGCCGGTGGCGGCTTTGGTCGCATCCTCCGCCGCGGACACGAACACCCAAAATATCGGTAAAAGAACCACCGAGAGAAGTCTACAGAAAGTCATTTTACACCCAGAAACAGTCGATAGAGAAGAAAAGAAAACAAAAAAAGCGAGAGAGTTGGAGTTTTAACCGGTACTGGAGAGGAACCGGGGTTTTCCACATACACGTCGCGTTGGCTAAAACTCTGCCTCCGGTTTATTTACACAAAGTAAAACCCAACTAGGAAGTTCTCATCCACCTACTGCTGACGCTCGGGAGAGACATGGGACACATTTACCCTCAGTTTGAGTCGTAAGGCTGCGAGCACCTGCCAACCAATCACAGTGAATACAGATACCTGCAAGGCTATACAGAGGGATGAAATACACGGGAAAATCCAGAATAATGTAAATCCAGTGAATCACTGGTGAAACAAAATGAAAAAAAGAAAAATAAGAAAATAAGACACGAGTCACATTTTACAAAGTACGTAGAACTGCGGAGAGGCAGAGAAACATTTAACTCATGGATTTTTGAATGTAGTTTGATCGGTCCACATACAAGGGCTTAGCAGGATATTAAGAAATGATTATATCAGTATATCTGATGAATTATTGGATTAATCCAGAAATAATGATAGATTAATTGATTTCACTCCAGAATTCATTCATAAATCTAGCAATTTCAAAGTCCCTCCAGTACCAGCAGGAGTATATATGCTGCAAAATATTATTGATTATTTTTGTCATTCATATGTTATCTTTTATATTACGAAAATAAGACACGAGTCACATTTTCCAAAGGACCAACTGCTGAGAGGCAGAGAAACATTAAACTCATGGATGTTTGAATGTAGTTTGGTCTGTCCACATACAAGGGCTCAGCAGGATATGGGGAATTAAGAATATATGATTATATAAGTTTATCTAATCAATTATTGGATTAATTCAGACATAATGATAGATTAATTGACATTACACTACACATTCATTTAAAAATTTAACAACTTAAAAGTTCAGCACATCACCAAACAGTATTCATTTTGAAATGGTTCACCTAGTAACCCCCACCACTCTCTCTCAACAATACATATACTTTCTGTACTGTAATCAACAGCACAGCTGCCTCACATGGACAGTGAATGAACACCTGCTAATATAAGAGTAATTGTTAAATCGGCATATTTTTGAATGGAATTTGGTGTGACTTCTGTCCCCATCTCTATTACAGGGGAATACCATTTAGTGTTTGTCACAACTTGGCTGAGGGCATATAGGACATCAGTACAAAGATAAACTGTTATTATATTTATTTAAAGTGTTTTAATTAAAATGAATTAACATCACACCAAACTTCATTCATAAATCCAGCAGTTTAATGTTCCCTCAGCAGTATACAGTATACTGTAAAATGTGATTCATATACTTTTGTTAAGTTTTAAGAAACAGTTAATAATTACTTCATTCAGCCTGCATCATTCCCACATGAGATGAGACTTTATTGATTCTAGGGGAAAATTAATAAAAGAAGCTTCATCATCTCACCACCTGATTTTATCTCTGGTTGTGTGGCTTGAGCTTTGAATCACAATTTAGACCTTCAGGTTGAGAAATCAAATTAAGAGAAAATATAACTGAACAGTCAGAAATCTGAGACTGCTGCCTCTGCACAAGCTGAAGCTGCTGCCTTGAATTGGTAGCGTAGGCAGTGACAGAAGTTTGAATGTGAGTCACATTGTGTAGGTGAGTTGACGGACACAGTGAGACTGCGCTGCACTGAGCCAGACTCTGATGTTTCCTCTTCTGATCAGACAATCTTGGTTGATCTCTGTGGTTCTGTTTCTCCTCCTGTTCGTCCTCATGGTTTAAGTCTCAGCAAGCAGGTTTAATCCTGGTTGTGTTCAGCAGCTGTTTACCTGCCTGAAGCTTTTTAACTGATGAGCACACACATCTGGACAGCTGACCACTAAACCCATCCTTACCTGATCCTCACCTGCCCATCCTGATCACAGATTCACTGCTGTCTGGGTCAGTTTCATATATTGTTATATATTCATGAAACTAAAAAACACTGTTTTTCATCGAGACATATGTGGTCACTTCAAACACTCGACTCTGCTATAGATTTAATTTAAAGTGAATGAGCATGTGGTCACCTGTCAGTTTACTGTGAGCGGAGCTTTTGTCCACAGGGGGCGCTGTGGTGTCACCACTGCAGCTCTTTATGGTCTGTATGAGGGACAGTCAGTCTCTGCAGCCAGCTCATAGAGGACATTTAAGCTGTGTGTGTGATCAAATATTATAAAAATAATTCTATGCATATTCTACTAATTCTTTTATCAAATATTTACTATTATTTTAGGACAGCTACTTTATCACCTTTTAAAATAATATTTGATTTTTTTGAAGAAATGTTACTATTATTTTGTCAATAGGTACTAAAAAAAAAATTCTAGTGAATTTCTTTCATATAGTTTAATGATTTTTTTCAGACATCTACAATTGTCTTTTTTATATTATTTTAGATATTTTACTATCTAAAAAAATAATAGTGATAATAATTATAATAATGTCTCCTGTTTCTGTTTCATATTAGACATTTATTTTAAACATTTCAAACACATATCTGTAAGAGCTTCTACACAAGTTTCTGCTCTGTAGTTGTAGCTGCAGCTAGTTGTTATGATGTTTAGGGTGGTTGCTATGGGGTTGCTTGGTTACCTACCTAACATCAGATGCTACATATCCTCCTTTACATTTACCAATAATTTTATTATTATTCATTCATTCATTCTCATGTTGTCATTCAGGACAGGAAGCAGTCTACAGGCATCTACAGGCTTGTTTAAGTAAAATAGGCCTAAATAAAATAAAATGAATCACTCTTTTTTAATTATTATAAGGTGCTGTGGCTTTTAACGAAGAGGAGTATTTTAATGAATATGTGATTTTAAAAAAGAACTTTACATTAAAACCAACTTGATGTTTGAACATTTTATTTCAGGCTTTCAGGATCTTGAACAGCTATAAAATACAATTTACTATATTGACATAGCCCCCAGTACTGTCTTACCCTTACAAATAGGCTATATATGTTTATGTAAGTTTTCTTATGTTGTACATAAATACATATCCATCCTAAAGCCTGTCAATATATATTGATATCATATACAGTAGTGTCCAAAGGTCTGAGACACTCCCAGAATGTGAAGATAGACATGTTTAAAATTAATGTGAAATTAATAAGAGAAACATGTTTAAGCATACAGAAATGTAATATATTGTTTTAATAAATTTCATATATAAACTAAATATATAAATCAAATATATATTATTAACATAGGCTATATAGTTGTAACATTTTAAATAGCCATAGCCTATAAAATATATATTCATCATATAGCCTACTTATTTTTAATATATGTAGCTTAGATATAGGCTATACATTTTACTATGGGTTTTTTTTATATATATGTTATAAACCTATATCTTTATATATAATATATCTCCTTATAAGTGACAAGAGAGAAATACTTGATTAGACTGAAGCCTGTGAGTAAAACCATTAACACCTGACCGCCTCAGAAACAACGGGCCGTTACTGACGTGATCCCCGGGCAGGGCTCGTGTGACGGTGTTGCGGGTTTGATTCCCGCTGGATCAGAGCCTCCGGATGTCACGCTAATGTACATTTATGTATTTAGGTTATTTCTGTATTTAGGTTGCTGACAGAGGCTTCGGTGATTGACAGGCTGGCCGTCCAATGGGAGCGCGGCTTGGCTCCCTTGCAGCGCTGTGATTAGTCGGCGCGGGAGCAGAGGGGCGGTGCTGTAAGATTACAGCAGCAGCTCTCTCTCCGCATATCCAGCGGACATCTGGAGCAGCCCTGCCCGGGAATCAAACCTCCGAGAACCAAGCGACATCCCTCACAAAGCCATCAACCAGCCTGTTTCCCGGTGAAAACACAGCCGGGCTGCGCTGTAGTTGCTGCGACTCTCCGGTCTGGATCTCCACCGGGAAGCTGCCCTGCTCCGGAGGCGTCTGACGGTCCGTTTCTACCGGTAAAAACACGGAGATACGACGAAAACCCGGGAGGAGGGTGATGGACTGAACTGATCCGATCTGAGAGGGTTTAGGCCTGATGGAAGCTGCGACACATCTGGACCTAGTGCGTCTGGATCAGTCCAGGATCCGTGTCTCTGGGATTGAACAGATTTTTTCTTGTGTAGTTTTTCTGTTTTGATCATTTTCTCTGATAAACGGTCCTGAGTCTGAGGAGCAGGCGGATCCTCCTCCTGCTGGTCTGGATTAAAGCCCATCAGGATCATGAATCATCCCCCTCTGCTGCTCTAATCTGGGTTTTACCGAGCTGGATTTAAATCGGAGATCCGATCTGGATTACTCTCCTCCTGGTTCTGGTCGGGTCACATCTGACCCGGTCTGAACCGGTCCTGGTGCTGGTGTGATATTGGACTCGGTTCCGGTTCTCTCTGGACCTGGTTTGCGGGAGAGCTCTGCTGTCATCATGCCGACGTCCCGGCCTGGTTCGGAGCCGGTGGAGTTCTGGGTGGAGGGGTCGAGGCGGGACGGGACGGTGGAGGAGTTCTACACCCTGAGCTCCGAACTGGGCAGGTCTGGACCACATCATTAGGGGGCACTGGGGGAAACTAATGAGTTCACATGTACCCCTCTTTGGGCCAAAGTTGCCCAGTGGGAGTCCATGCGATACTCCTCAGGTCCAGGGTTATCTTTGTCTAACAAACACAGTGAGTGAGACTGTGTGGTGGTGAAGGTGGACTTGGACCACACCTTCGGGACTGTCTCTGTTTATTACCATAAACAGACACTAAACTTCAGTGATGTCGGGCCGTGTGCAAAAAGAATAAATCATAAACAAGTCTGAAATAAAAGAGACAAACACTCAGTTCAATTAAATCACATCAAAATAACCGAAAATCTCGTGACTCTAAACCCTTTATTCATCATTACTAAACAGCTACAAGCTGCATTTTCAAGTGTTTATTAATGTTCAGTATTTGTTCTAACTTCTCTTATGAAGACATATATTATATTATTCACTATATTGAATAATACATTGATTATGTGTTTATAGGGAAGCCTCAACTGATTAGTTAGTTAATACAGTCTATTAGTGACCAGTTATTAAGTCTTATAGTGATTATTCTGATCAATAAACCAGTTATTACATCTTTATACTGACAAGTGTGGTTGGGTGTGGACAGAAGTGTCCTTTGTTGCACCCAGGAGGGATGTCACAGTGTCCTGGAGTGTCCTGTGAGAGCCACTCTTCAGTTCAGCATGTCCATCAGTAACTGAATATGTGATGCTCTATGTGAATGTGTGGGAGCTGTGATTGCTCACTGAAGGACAACAGCAGGTAAATGGTATGTGAGGGCTGTTTAAGTTAAAGCTGTTAAAAGTTAAAAGTTTTACTTAAAAGTGTTTAAAGATTTAAATTAATGTGTAAATTCCATGAAAGGCCGTCAGTGCTGTCCAACAAAGACTGTCCGACTCTAGCTGTGTCTCATTTCAGGTGCCACATCCTTTGAAGGCGGAAGCTGAAGAATTCGAAGGCTGTCGTTTTGAAGGCTCCTTCGTTTCTCAGGCAACCATGAATCAGTCTTCAAAAAGACAATATGGTGTCTGACCGGATCATTTTGGTTCGGTCATAGCGGTTTCAGCAGTTTTCGGGGGCCACGCCTTCGTAGACCGTGTCCTTAGAAGGGTGCAGCCACTGAATTCAGACACAACGTCTTTAAAGAGAAACTAACTGTTGCAGCACAACTGAACATATGTTTTACAAATGCAGAAAACATATCTTTCTTAAATGTAGATGTTTGTTTTATTAACAATACGTAGCATAGAAATAGGTTGGAAGTTTGCAGTTTAGTATGAGAACTGTCCACGTTAGCATAACGTTTCATAATGTGTTTCTGTGAAGCATGATCGTTTGAATATAAAATTAGAATCAAGTTTGAGGTCAGATATGTCAATCATGTGATTTCTTTGAGTCTAAACAGGTCTGATATCAGCAAGCTTACATTAACTTTGGTTTGTTGGTGTTTATAGTAACAACTAGTCTCTTTAACTAGACGACGTGTAAAACTTAATAAACAGTTTCTACTTAATAACCTTTGCTTTTGTTACTTGAAATACGCTGAAACAGAAGTAACATTTTGAATTTTAGGTATAAATGAGTATTTTTACACTCTGTTGTTCCTACTTTTATTAAATTAAAGGATGAGAGCTCGTCTTCCTCTCCTGCCTGTCACTTCCTCCTCTTGGTTTGTTTGAACTAAAAGACGACGGCGTCTCTGTTTTCCCTCTGCACCAAATGAACTGAACTACAGTTGAGAAGGTTGTGAATGTTGTTTGTTTGTGTGTTTACAGTACATGTGGCTGTGTAAAGTGTGTAAGAACCCTGTGTGTGTGTGTGTTGTTTTCTGTTATTTCAGTAAACAATAAACAACAACAATAACAACAGCTCAGTAGAAACAGTAAAATGATGTCAGTGGTTAAATCAGAAATGTGTGAGCCACCAGCCCTGTTACCAGGTGACCTGTTACCATGGAGACCAGTTAGTACTGAGGGTGTTGCTTTTTCAGATGGATCTGTTTCCTCCATCTGTCCCAGCAGAAAGCAGATCCCCCCAACACACACACAAGCACACACACACACACACACACACACACACACACACACACACACACACACACACACACACACACACACACAGAGTGTCTTATTTTAGTGTGTTTTGTGTCCACTGTTCTTTGTGTTAAAATGACTCAGGTGTGAGTGTTGTCATTTTTGTTATTAGTACAAATCACTTTAACACCAAGAAGTCCTCCAGACTAAACAGTGTACAGGTGGTTTGTCCCAATGCTCTGATCCCACCTGTAGGAGATACGCAAAAGATCAACTGTTCAAAATCCTGTTGGTTGTGAACCAACCAAAAGTATCCACTTGCCCTGTTGTGGACACAAACTTTTTACAAGGCTATATTCCATATTGTCTAAAATATGACAAATGTGTGGTCTTACATGTCAGGGTTAGCAGTAGTTCAGGTTTAACACTAGCTGTTGTTTTGTGTTTTCTTACAGAGGAGCGACATCCATCGTGTATCGCTGTGAAGAGAAACAGACTCAGAAACCCTACGCTGTCAAAGTCCTCAAGAAAACGGTCAGTGACCTGCCATTAGAGAGAAAACTGAGGTCAGAGGGTGAATAGTTGCCTACTGTTTCCAGTCTTTAGCTGTGTCTCAGTTCAAGGGCTGCATCCTTCAAAGGCTGCATTTGAAGACAGCGGAGCAACTAGGCTGTCCCATTTCAAAGGCTCCTTCAAATGCAGCTGAGAAATGTATCCTTCTTTTCCTGCGCAACTAAGGCTCCAACAGGTGGATCCTTCTTGGCCCAACCTATCACAAAATTCATTGCACAGTGGTGATGAAAATAATATAGCAGTAAACAACACTGACAAAGAGCCTGAGGATTACAAAACTGGTGACGCAAAGTGAAAATACTCTGTTGGCCAGACGGTCTCATTTGAGTTTGGCCTTTGCAGTCTACAATGGCAAAGAAGGCCACACCTTCATAAACCGCGTCCTCCGAAAGATGCGACCTCTGAATTGGGACACAGATTTTGGTCTAAACTATCTCAAACACTTCAGTTGTTTGTTCTGCCGTCTGATGTTGTTTCTTCCCTTTTAGATCGACAAGAAAATCGTTCGTACTGAAATTGGTGTGCTGCTGCGTCTTTCCCACCCAAACATCGTAAGTATCCACGTTTTCTCACGACATTGAAAATTATGAAATAAATGTTTCTGAACAGACATTTCCTGAAAAACCTCTTTTCTGTTGTATTTAAGCTGTATAGAAACATAAGGGTTGACAGGGTTGTCTACATTACAGTATCCAAACTTGCTGAGCTCTTGCTTTGTGTTTGAAAACAGGAAACTCAGGACTCTCCTGGATAATATACTCAAAATATAGGTGTATGTCCTGACCCCCAGTTTGAATTATTGCAGTTGTTTCTGACAAATCATGTTTGATCCTCCAAATGCTACAATACCCATGATCCTCAGCTGCCGTTGCCATGGAGAAGAATCCAGTCAGAGGTGTGAATCAGAGTGGCAGTGTAATGAGATGTATACAAGGAAGCAAAACCAAGGACTGAAATGCAGACCGACAGAAACAGTTTGGTGACTTAAATTGTAAAAATCAATAGACAAAGGCCAGGTGCAAAAAAGGTGCAGGTGCTGGTTTGGGTACAGGATCAGGTTCAGATAGAAGTGGGCAAGTGGCAGCATGATGATCTGGCACCTAAGGGCGGTATACAGAAAGCTGGGAATGTCTGAGGGTCTGACAGAAAAAGATCTTTGCAGGGAGACTTCCATGTTGTAGGCGGCAAGCTAACAAAAACAAGCCTACCCAAAGCCAGGCAGTCGGATGGAGAGGAAATGGATGGAATGTGGAGAGAAGAGCTACGAATAAAGTCTTTCGATAGTCTGCAAAGGACTTCACATGACACTATTCACAACTTGGAATACTTTTTTGAAAATCCCTTTTGAGTCTTTTGATTGGTGGAGTCTGACGGAATAGACAGACAATCTGACTCCACAACTGCTTCAAAGGTAGGTTGTTGCCACCATTTTGCTCATCTTACTGATGCTGGTGAATCTGAATTAATTATACTTTTGTGCTCATGGTCACTGCAGAATGAACTGTTTTATTTATTTATTTATTTTATTTGCACACTTAACTAATTATGTGTAGCTTGTCAATATTGACAAAAATTTAAGCAATTACACCTTTGAGACTGTTACAATGCAACTTTGCAAAAACTTTGTATGATTGTTGATTGATCACCAGCAACTAGGTGGGCTCTGAGAGTTATTCACCTTATATAAAATTACAAATTAAGTTATAAAAAATAATAGCACTTTCCTCCCTCACAGACAGTAATAAAACAATAACAATAATAATATACGGCTTTGCCTCAGACTTGAGGTTTGCACAACAGCTGGTCACCAGCAGCAACACAATAATAATAATAATGATTATAATAACTTTAATAATAATGCCTTTCAAGGTACCCAAGGCCACTTTACAGGTAAAGAAACACAAAGTTAAAAAAAACAAATAAATGAAAACAAGACAACACAGGGTTAACTAAAGGGTGTGTCTGGGTACTTTCTACTTTGTGTCTCCAACTGGTGAATGAATGAGAAACACTGGAGAGAAATAATAAGAAAAGCACAACAAAAATTGAAATTTGCATATTTTTTATTTTAGTTGATTTTTTTTTTCTTGTTAATATGAAAATTTGTGGGAGGAAACTGGAGCACCCAGAGAAAACCCAAGCAAGCACGTGGAGAAGATGTCATCTCCACACAGAGAGAAGGCAGCTGATCAGTAGACAATCACAGCCTTCTTGCTGCAAGGCCACAGTGTTAACCACTGAGCCACCGTGCAGTAGTAATATAGTGCAGTAGATAAGCGTGTATATGGAAGGTTATTGTGCATTTCATGACTAAAGCAAGAAACTGTCTCCACTGCTTCTAGAAACCATGGAGTTTATTTTCAGATGTGGATGCATTCCAGATGTGATCTCTGGGACAGGGCAGAGCCCCCTGGAGTAATGAGTATGGTCCAGACCAAAGTAGCATGCTAGCTTCTGATCAGAATGTTTGCTAATGTGCTAGCTAGTCGTGTAATTCCATAGAACACACAGCAGAAGTTGTCAGTATTTTTAACAAGCTATAGCTACCTTAACACCTGCAAATAAGCATCTTCATGCAATTTTGGCAAAGATATATGTGATTATAATGGAGAAAATTATGCAAAAACTGGAAAAAAGCAATGCTGAGGTCAGTGACTCAAGGTCACCAGAGGTCAGATACAAATTGCTTTCACATCTGAAATAAACCCTTGGGGTATGTAGATTATATGCTGAAACTTTCATGCTTTAGTCAGAAAATGCACAATTGTTTTGCCTAACTGCCCCACTAATGTCTGTGAAGACTCTCAGTCATCCAGGTCATGGTCATCCCAGAAGGGTTGGATTGAAGGCAACTGGACTCTGTTGTAGGTAATTGAGGACGTTTCACCTCTCATCCAAGAGGCTTCTTCAAACCTCTTACACGAGAGGTGAAATATCTTCAAGAACCTCAAGAAAGTCCGGTTGCCTTCATAGAGCACAAAGGCAGAAACACAATCACCCGGATGACTGAGAATCTTCACAGACATGAACTATTGCCAAAACATTACTACTATTTACCCCCAATTTGATGGTTTGGCATCGTGGAGCAATTTCTTCCAGCCTGTATGTTTTTTGGTCTTTTTTGTCTCCCAGGAACAACCAGGCTGTTGGTCATCATCAGAAAGGTTTTTCCTCTCTGAGTTGGACATGGCAGTGCGCTTCGGGCGAGCCCCTTTCTCATAGTCTGAGATCTTTTGTTCCAGCTCCTGCACTTTGAGGGAAAGGACTTCCTCCCTTTCAGAGGCCCTCAGCTTCTGCTGGGCATTGGAATCCTCTACCTGCCTAATCTTAATGTTGAGGGCCCGGATTCTCTTAAACTGCTCTTCTTTGATGGTCTCCTTCTGAGCTTTTTCTTCCTTTACCTTTTCTAACAAATCTTTTGTTCTTAAACTTTTTCCTTCGCAGATCAGATTCAGTTCTGCCAACTGTTCAAGGTAGGACTTCTTTTCCTTCTCCCAGGCTTGGAGTTTACCATCCTGGTCACGCTCTTTTTGGAGCATCTTTTGAAGGTCCTCCATTTCTTTGGCAGTGGCCTGCTCCCTCTCAGTAGCCTTCAGCTGCAGCTGCTTACACAAGTCCATTTCTTGTTGCAGCTTGATATTAAGGTCCTCAATTACATTTTGCAGGGCTTTCTTTTCTGACTTTTCTTTCCTGTATTTTTCAATCATACACCCAAAGCTCTTTTTAAGCTGATTTAGGTCATTGCCTAAAACTTTGGACTGCCTGTCCAAAGCTTCAAGTGTATCCCGATTCTGCAAAACATCTGTTTGGAGCTTCTTTACCGAGTCACATGTTTCTTGTTTAAGGACCTTTTCCCCCTCAGAGTTCTCAAGCTCCTCTTGGCCACAGACCTCAGTTTCTTCTTGTGACGAGGTTTGGGGCTCCTCAGTCTTATTCTCTTGATGAATAACAATGACTTCCTCAGAGTTCTCAAGCTCCTCCTGGCCACAAACCTCCATTTCTTCTTGTGCCAATGTTTTGGGCTTCTCAATCTTATCCTCTTGATGTATAACAATGACTTCCTTGGAATTCTTGACCTCCTCCTCGCCACAGACCTCAGTTTCTTCTTGTGCCAATGTTTCGGGCTCCTCAATCTTATCCTCATGATGAATAACAGTGACTTCCTCAGAGTTCTCAAGCTCCGCCTGGCCACAAACCTCAGTTTCTTCTTGTGCCAGTGTTTCAGGCTTCTCAATCATATCCTCTTGATGCATAACAGTGACTTCCTCTGAGTTCTCGACCTCCTCCTGGCCACAAACCTCAGTTTCTTCTTGTGCCAATATTTCTGGCTCCTCAATTTTATCCTCTTGATGAATAACAGGGACTTCCTCAGTGTTCTCAGCCTCGTCATTTTCGGTCAAGTCTTTGAGGGTCAAGTTATTGTCTCTGCAGCTCATTTCAAGTTGCTCTATTTGAGTAATAAAGGCACTGTTCTCCTTCTCCAAGACATTAAGTTTCGGCATGAATGAAGCTGCACATTGGTTCTGCTCCATCTGGAGCTGCTCTCTGAGGTCACAGAGCAGCTGCAAGGCTTCGAGTTCAGACACAAATGAAGTTGCACACTCGTTCCGTTCCCTCTGGAGATGCTCTTTGAGGTTACTGATTTCTTTGCTGAGGACCTTTATCCACTCAGAATCCCTTCGCTCCCTCTCGGTACGCAAGTCTTTCTCTTCATCAAGCTGAAATTTAAGACGTTCATTTTCTGCACAAAGGGCATTCTCCCTCTCAGTAATGGAGTTCTTGAGCTCTTCTTGGGCACAGACTTCATTGTGTGTTGGGGTTGATGTTTCTTGAAATATCGCAGGGACTTTCTCTCCAAACTCAGGCTTGTCTTTAACGGACAAAGGTGTGAGGGTAAAGCGAATCTCTTTCCATCTCATTTTAAGTTGTTCTATCTGAGTAAGCATGGCCTCGTTCTCCCCTAGCAAGGCTTCAAATTCAGACTCAATAGAAGCTGAACACTCGTTCCGTTCCCTCAGGAGCTGCTCTTTCAGGGTATTGATTTCTGTGCAGAGGTCCTTTTTCTGCTCAGAGCCCCTTACCTGCCTTTCGGTAAGTGGATCTTTTTTTTCATCAAGCTGCAATTTAAGTTGTTCACTTTCTGCATGAAGGGTATTCTCCCCTTCAGAAGTGGAGTTTTTGAGCTCCTCAGGGGCCCAGACTTCATTTTGTGCTGGTGTCGATGTTTCTTGAAATATTGCAGTGACTTTCTCTGCGATCTCAGGCTTGTCTTTAACGGAAAAATCTATGAGGGTAAAGCAAATCTCATTGAAGTTCATTTTAAGTTGTTCTACCTGAGTAATCAAGGCATTGCTCTCCCACAGCAAGGCTTCGAGTGCAGACTCAAATGAAGCTGCAGAGTCATTCTGTTGCCTCTGGAGCTGCTCTTCAAAGGTACTGGTTTCTGTGCGGAGGCCCTTTTTCTGCTCAGTTTCACTTAGCTTCCTTTCAGTTCGTAGATCTTCTTCATTAAACCGCAGTTTAAGTTGTTCACTTTGTGCATGAAGGGCCTTCTCCCCCTCAGTAGTGGAGTTCTTCAGCTCCTCTTGGGCACTGACTTCATTTTGTGTTTGAGTTGATGTTTCTTGAAATATCACAGTGACTTTCTCTGTGATCTCAGACTTGTCCTTGAAGGACATGTCTGTAAGGGTAAAGCTATTCTCTTTGCACCTCATTTGTTCTATCTGAGTGATCAAGGCCTTGTTCTCCCTCTGCAAGGCTTCCAGTTTAGGCACAAAAGAAGCTGCACACTCGCTTTGTTCCATCTGGAGCTTCTCTTTGAGGGTACTAATTTCTTTATGGAGGTCCTTTTTCTGCTCAGAGTCCCTTAGCATTCTCTCGGCATGTAGCTTTTTTTCTGTATCAAGCTGCAAGTTAAGTTGTTCCATCTCTTTTTGCAAATCATCCCTTTGCTTCCGAATGGACTCTTTCTCTTCCCTCTCAGCCTTGCACTCATCAGTGATATCACTGGCAGTGGAATTAGTCATTTTAAGGCTATCAACCTCTTTCAATAAACCGTCTCTTTCCCTCTCGAGGGCTTTGATTTTAATCAAATTCTGGTTGGTTATTGTTTCTTTGACACTCTCCATCTCCGCTCGAAGGGCCTTCTCTCTCTCTGTGGCCCTTAGCTGCTCCCTGACTCGCAAGTCTTTTTCATTTTGGAGTAGATGGGAGAGTTGATTAATTCTTTCCTCCATGTCGCACTTATCTGCCATCTTTCCAAAGAGGAAGAGTTCTTTCTGTAACTGTACTTGTCTTTTAGAGTGGTGGTCTCACTTTGGCTTTTGTATTGAAAAATGTTTCCAAATGTGCTGAAAGATGGTTTATGTGTGCTTCTGTAAATCAGACAGGGAGGTGACGGTGATGTCATCACCTAGAATGTCTTTGATCTTGTAAATCATTTCCTGTCCATTGTTGTGTCATCATTAGAACAGGGAATGGAATGTTTGGAATTGATTTTTGTTTTGTTTCAAAAAACCTTTACTAAACAACACACGATTCAAATTACACACTAACACACATGCATGCACGTCTGCACACACAGAAGCATATGATGATGTCATTGCCTGAAAATGTCTTTGATCTCTAAAGTCATTTCCTGTCCTTTGTTACATCATCATTAGAACAGGTAATGGAATGTTTGGACTTTTGTTTCAAAACACACACACACACACACACACACACACACACACACGCATACACACACACAAACACACACACATTGTGTGACCACTGACCTATTCTGTTGCATTTATCACAGAGAAGCTGCTTGTGATCTGTTCCTGCCCCCAGTGTCAGCTGTATCATATTGTTGAAATGCATTTTAGCCAGTAACCAGGACTAAAATAATTAGGATGAGAAGTTTAAATCTACTTTACAGTTGTCATAACAACCACAATAATAATTATAAGAAAATGTAAACAACAGCCTCCCAGGCAATTGTCTATATTGAACAGCTGTATTGTATGTAGATAGAGCTGCTGTTAAACTGTATAGTTTTACACACAGAGGCTGTTGTTTAGCCCCCATTGACAAAATTGATTATAACCTTCATGGAGGCAGAATTTATTACAGGACTGTTTTATTAGAATGTAACTTGCAGACTGTTTTTTGGACTGTTCAACTGTATAAATAACTCCACTGGAGGATGAACACTCTTCTTCATAAACATATTCCCTCATGTGATGATGATGATGATGATGATGATGATGATGATGGTGGTGGTGGTGGTGGTGGTGGTGGTGGAGAGTGCTGTCTAACATCAAAATCTCCCATAATTCAATTGGACTGAGATCAGGAGACTGTGAAAGTCTCATCATATCATACTTCAGTGACCCTGTGACCTGTGGGTGGGACACTTACCTTTATCATTAAATACTGATAGTGTTAATGTGATTATTTCTGCTTAAATGATAAAACACATTGTCAGTCTGTTTCTCTCTGGTGTCCTCAGTGTCCTGGATCAGCTGAATGTGGGACAGGATGACAATGAATGGGGACATTAGAGACGTTTTTATACCTGCTGCAGGAAACTTATTTGTGTCAGACCAGATCTATATTTCAAGTTTGTTCAGTGATGCAGGAGCAGTGGGTTCAGACTTCACTGTGAGAATCTGAACTGAAGAGCAGTCTGTTAATAAACCTCAGGTTCTTCTGACTGTAGAACTAGTTCTCCATCAGTTCACTGTGTTGTTACCTCCACCTACACTGACCCAGGATCAACTGGTCTGTACACTCAGCTGTAACAACCACCTTCTTCTTCTTCTGTGGTGCTTCAGATCCAGCTGAAGGAGATCTTTGAGACAGACACTGACATCGCTCTGGTATTGGAGCTGGTGACCGGAGGAGAGCTGTTCGACAGGTACACACACACACACACACACACACACACACACACACACACATTCACACACTCAGAGAAAATCCGGCTCTGTGATTGGTTGTCAGGTGTGTGTTCAGATCACAAAAGTAGAATTTATAGATGAGATCGTACAGGTAAGTGTAAATGTATCATACAGGTGATACTGTCAGTACAGTAATGGCTCAAACTGTCACAGTCTACTCCCCTCATCACCTGACTGCCCCGCCCATCCACACACCTGTTCCCACCTCTCATCAGCCCGGCAGTCACCTGAGCTCTCCCCACCTGCACCTCAGTCCCTCATCAGCCTCACTCTGCTTAAATCAGTTCACCTTCTTTGTTCCTTGTCTGCTTCCTGTGTGTAGTTACCTGTCGTCTCTACCTGTAAGTCTGATGTACATGTACAGGTGTACATATATAGGTGTCATATGATGTTTGAACCATGTGTTGTTTTCCAGGATCGTGGAGAGAGGTTACTACAGTGAGAGAGACGCCGCTCATGTCATCAAACAGATCCTGGAGGCTGTGGCGGTAAGACTGCTGCATTCACTGTCTGCTCTCTGTGTCAGGAAAATACAGCTCTTATTTATTTATTTGTTTATTAGTTTGTGAAATACAATTATTCTAAAAGTAAACACAACTTCTTGCAGCTAAGAGCGTCTACAGAGCAAATTAAGTTTGCTTGATGAGGCTCTGTTGTGTTTGTGTTTATAGGATTTCACAGTTGTATTCAGTAATGTTGTAAATCAGGTTTAATGAGAGAAAAGCTTGTGTCCTTATTTCACTGTGAGGAGGAGGATGATTCGACAGTGCAGTGATGCATCCGCCTCATTTCATCTTTATTAAATGTATGAATTAAGATAAATACATGTTGATAAAACCATGTGACTCTCAGACCTCCACTGGTAAAGGACAGAGTGGAGTCTCTGTTCAGCAGGTGTTTTATTGTCAGGACACTGAGCTGCAGGAAGCAGGACTCTATCTGAGACACAGACCAGGAGCACAGACAGACTGGTTGGTCAGAGGTTCAGACAGTGGTTTACATGATGAAGACCAGCACAGTCTCCAGACCAATCACAGCAACTGAGCTCATTACGTCACCTCTCCCTGCAGCCTCAGTGCTGCAGGAAAAACAGATTTTAGGTTGTTATCATTTAGGCTTGTTTTTGTACCATTAGAATGATTTATTCAAGGGGGTGGGTTGACTGAATGAAAACAGATACAGGCTAAAATAAGCGAGCTGTAGCCCAAAGTGTAACCATTAAACCATTATACTGGAGCCAGGCTAACAGTTTCCCCCTGCTTCTAGTCTTTGTGCTAAGCTAGGCTAAACAGAGATGAAACTGAAACATGTTACAGAAAGAAAATTGATTTCACCAACCTGTGGTTGCAGGTGTTGCTGGCAGCCGCGTTGTTGCTCACGGTAGCAGCAGGTCTCTTATCTAACAGCAGCTTCCATCCTGCTGCTGAACAGATTAAAACCAGAGAGGATTAATGAACACACACACACACACATACACACACACACACACACTGACCACCACAAGTGACCTACATTTAACTCACAGAAAAACATACGTGTGTGTGTGTGTGTGTGTGTGTGTGTGTGTGTGTGTGTGTGTGTGTGTGTGTGTGTGTGTGAGAATTTGCGAGAATTTGCAGCACAGTAACATCCTGCAGACCCTGAATACATCAACATCATTTTACAACTGAGTTTCTCATCATGTGGCTCTGGACCGTGAGATGGACGAGTTTTAAATGACTGCCAGTCTCATTATACTGAATGTACCATGTGGTCTTGATCGTATAGGTAATATCACCTGTAGGCCTTTATGTTGTCGCTGTCCTCTGAAAACCACGTATTTACCCTTCAGCTCATCTCAAAGATTCAAAGTCTCTTCAAATAAAACTGGATGTGGACTTTGTCATTATTTGATTTCCATCTTTTATTTGTTTAACAACAAAACAGAAACTAAATTAAGATGCAAATGTTCCTTCAGTGTCTTTAGGTAACATTGAGTTGAATTGAACCAATAACAGAAGAGAAGCTGCTTCATTCTGTGATGAGAAATCAAAGTGTTGATTGTCTGAAGATATCTGTCTACAAAATAATAACAACAGTAACAGAGCTGCAATGATTAGTCGATTGTTTCAGTCATTTTCCAAATAAAGTTGCCAAACAACCCTGGTAGTGAAATGAGGATTTTAAATGTGGGTCAAATAAAATATGTAAAGACGTTAAAACATACATTTTTCACTATTATCTGATATTGTACTGACTAAATGATGATGAAAGTAATTAATGTGAACATGAAAGATTAATTGAGAGTCTGGGTGGGCGGAGCTTGGGGCGTGACTGAAGGTAGAGATTGTGTCTTTGTGACATCACAAAGTGATGACGGCTGGTTTTAAGGCTCAGTTTCTGAATACAGGCTGTGTGCATTTCTCTGTGGACTGAGGCTTTGATACTTTCACAGTATTAATATAGAACCTAGACCTGCTTTATGATCAAACAACACATGGACATCTACCTTTAGACTGTATGGAGCTTTAAAGAGTCTCATTGAAGATTAAAAATGTCTTCAGAAGTTTGCTAGATGAATTGACTGAAGCTGAATGTTGATGATAGTTCTGCTCAGTCTAAAAAACAGTTTTGGTCGATGATAAGAAATAGCTGCACCTCCACACTGAGTGTTCAGGTGCTAACTCACCTGTAAAGATGCCAAAGAGAGTGAGATCTGTCTGTTCTTGTTTTAGTTAAAAGGGACTGAGCTGTGTTTTACTCACATGAAAGTTTCGCGTGCTCACCAAAAGGTTTCTGGTGCAACCACATACACAATGAAAACTTTGCATACACACCAAAACCATGCATATACACACTGCACATTTACACACCCCACCATCGCATCCTTGGATCACCAGGCCTCATGACCGGTCTTATAATACATCCATGGTAACACTGAAACAACTTCCGGGCGCACTGAAAAACACGCGCACAGCGCTCTGTGCCAGCGCAATGAGCGCATGTGCATCCAGAAGTCAGTACATTAACACTCACAAGCAGCCTATATCACGCTGTGTTAAGATTGTGGGGTGTGTAAATGCGTGGTGTGTATGTGCATGTTTTTGGTGTGTATGTGAAGTTTTCATTGTGTATGTGGTTAATTTAATGTGCACACTTTCACGTGTATATGCACACTTTCACACTTTTGATGCGTATGTGCACACTTTTCACGTGCGCATGCGAAAGTTTCTGGTGCGCACCAGAACCCAAAGATTTTTTCCCCCGTGTCCCTTCAGGGGCTTCGTAGTGTTTTGCTCATTGATTTTTTTTGTTTTTTTAGTGAACAGATTTGTGCAGAGGAGACGAGGGCGTGAATCAATGTGTTTGCAGCAGTGAGGAAACAGTGTGTTCTGACTGTCGGTAGAGAATGTCTCTAGTTTTAGTTTGTCCGTCTCTTGTCTCTCAGTGTTTGACAGAGACTCAGTGTCCTGCTGCAGCTGATCTGAGGCAAGTGAGTGTGCAGAGAGCAGCAGGGGATGCTGGGAGCTACGGGAAGACGCCATCTGTCCATTCACTTTCATTCTGTGCTTCAGTCTGTCCTGCCGAATCCTCCTCACAGATCCCCACCACCCCCCAACCCCCACCTCAGACACCTTCACCTTACCTGACAGTTGAGGGTTCACATTGTATTGTGTGCCTGGGGGGGGGGGGCACTGTGGAGTTCAGCAGCTTTCAAACTGTGTTTCTCTAACATTTTGAGGTGTGTGTGTGTGTGCGTGCGGGCGCGTGTGTGTGTGTTTCAGTATCTCCATGAGAACGGTGTTGTGCATCGTGACCTGAAACCAGAGAACCTGTTGTACGCCGACCTGTCGCTGGATGCTCCGCTGAAGATCGGTAACAAAGCTTTATTGTGTCTGAATCTGAAACTTAATTGATTCTCAGGATGCAGACAAACAGCAGCCGACACAGCTGCATGATGGAGGCAGATTGTGATGAACCACCTCTTTCACTCCAATCTATTCAAACTTTATTTCAGACTCTGGCTCCAGAGCAACTAGATTAATTAAACTCATGGTTTTATATTATGACTCAATGATGGTTCTGATGGGGGGGGTCCATCTTGGAAGTTGCATCTCGGACCTGGATCCAGATGTGTGACTTGTTGCTGATCCTATTGTTCATCTGCGTTCTCGTTATTCATGAGGATCACTGGAAAACACAGAGGCAGCAGCAGATCTCAGATCAGCTATAAACGATCAATGTTAACTCTCCTCCGTGTGTCTGCAGGTGTCGTCTCTATTCAGACAAAGATTGCGAGTGAACAGACGTCTCACTCTGCCAATGCATGTGCATGTGTTTTTGCCGTTCAACAGACAAAAATTATCAGCGGATCATCTCACACCAGTGTAGGAATCTCCCAGTCAAACCTGGTTTCAGATCAGGTTTGGATGTTATCACCTTCCTGGTTCAGGAGCTTCAGGATGTGGAGTCAGTAGCTGCTGAGCTCATTCATAAAACTAATAAGATTCAATAATGGATTCAGAGGGATTCAGATTCAAGAAGTGGATTTGATGCTGGATTTGAATTGAATTGGTAAAGTGCACACCTCATTGTTGGTTACTATCAGTCATGGGGAGATTTTACCCAGCACTAAGAGCAAATGAGTCTCCTGCAGCTTTACAGAAAATCAGAGGATTTTCTTTTCTCAAGTCAGTGCATTATGCTTCTGTAGCATGATGCTGTTAACTGTGGTGTCAGAGGTAGTGAAGACCCGCACAGTCACAGAGCCGGACTCTCGGCCCAGTGCTGGTCCAGTTTTTGGAACAGCCTCTCAGAGTGTTGGTGGTTCTCCAGCTCACAGCTACAGATGGAACAAGCTCATGTTCAGCCTCCACCAACACTCTGCACTCTGATTCTCCACCACCTCCACCTGCCACTGCTTCACCCCCTCATTTCGCCCAGAATAGAATCAGGAAACAGCAGAACCATGTCAATAAAAAAAAACAAAACATATTTTAATCTGAAGTCAAACAACATAAAATGTTTTTCTTTTAATTCAGTTCTAATGATGAAATATTCTCTGTTCTTACAGCCGACTTTGGTCTGTCCAAAATCATCGATGACCAGGTGACCATGAAGACCGTCTGTGGTACTCCAGGGTACTGTGGTACGTTCATAGACGTTTATCAGTTTATTGTCAGTTTTTTAGTGGTGTAGTATCTGTAGTATATGTGTGTATAGTATGTGTAGAGTGATGTCTTTAATGAGCTGTGTTGCTGTGATATCCGGCAGCAGGCAGTGATGCGTTCAGTGCAGCCTCTGCTCTGTGGGATTTCTCAGTTAGAGCGTCTGTCAGCCACCTGGCAGCTAACAGCTCCTCTGTCTGCAGCTCCAGAGATCCTGCGGGGAAATGCCTACGGCCCCGAGGTGGACATGTGGTCGGTGGGCGTCATCCTCTACATCCTGTGAGTGCATTAACACCTTGCTGCCAGTCCACACACACACATACACACGAACACACACACACACACACACACACACACACACACACACTGAACTGAGTCAGTATTGACTCATTCCTGTCATTATGGACTCTGGTGGTTGAATGGTTTCATGCTTGTCCATCTGTCTCCTGACAGTGAAGTGGTGACATAACATCAAACGCTGCTCCCTGTTGATCTGTTTCCTCAGACATTAACGTGAACATGGTCATGTGACTTCAGATGGGTTTGTTTAATGTCTTCACCAGCGCACTGCTGCATGATTCCTCACTCACTGTACTCAGATGAATTATGATAAACTGTGATTGTCATATTTTTAGATTTAGATTAGATAGATATTTTTAGAAGTAATTTAATTTGAGTGAGTTACTCACTAATTAGCAGAGGTGGAAAGTAACTCATTTACAAAAGTACTGTACTCAGGTACAGTTTAAGGTACTTGCTGAATATTTAGTCTCTAGTCAGTGAAATATTGTGATTTTTACTTTTCTGATTTTTTTTCTTACAGTTACTTTAACATTTTACTTTTAACATTATATAAACTGTATATGTGTATGTATGTATATATACATGTATGTGTATATATATATATATAAATGTGTATGTATATATACATACATAAGTATATATATGTATGTATATGTATAAACACATATACAGTATGTATATCTTTTTTTTTTTTTTTTTTTTACACTTTCCATGAAATGATCTCAACTGTATTCAATTCAGTTCAATGCGTTTATTGTCATTGCTCAGTGTACAGTGAAATTTAGTCTCTCCAGTGGTACATACAGTAAGATAATCACAGACAAGTAGACACACTACAGTCTGTATAAATAAAACAAATAAATAGTATAAAAACTGAAGTATATACTCCAGTATGAAACAACTTAAATTGACTTTAATAATAATCTTCATGATGAGGGGATGGGGATAATGGGGTTTGGTTTTAATGGATTTTTCTTGATGTTCATGTAATAACTATTATCATTTTCCTTTGTTCTGTTGTTTTTCTTTGTTGAATGCTTGTGTTGGGAGCTTGTTTTGTGTTTGTGATGTATGTTATATTGTGTTTTGTATTTCCTTATTTATACAATAAATAATTGATCACACACTGTAAAAAGCTTAATCTCTCCAGGTTTAAAACTCTTACTTTATTAAAACAAGTGAAATAATAATTAATTTCAACCTTCTTGTAACAGAAGTCAGCTGCTTTCTTTGTTATTTCTATAAAGTTCTTGAAGCAAATTACATTATATTGAAATGTCTGTTTTAAGACAAAGAAGTATTTCAGGACTCTATGTAGCGTGGTGCAGAGTGAAGCTGCCCTCCACTACACATTTAATTTGAAAAGTCTTTTATTTTGTCCTGTAAAGAGCAAACATATGTATTTTACCATCACCGTTCACCACACACACACAGTAATTTCACACTCAAGTGTGTGTTCTCGTTCTCTGAACGTGTTTGACATTCGAACACAGAAAAATGATGAACATCTACACTAACATCCAAACAATAAATCACGTCCGTTGTATTGCTATTCCAGACCATTTTCATCATGTACATTCAATATCAACTTGTTTTTCAAATACACAGTCAGCCAATCATGTCTACCAAACATTGTCAAATTAATCAAATCAACCATGTATCTATTTTAAGTTATTTATGTATTTATTTATGAACTAGACACGAGCAGTCCGGGCTCTTTAGACCGGCTCCTAGTTCTACTCTCCATCCTCTGACTCGCTTGAGGTAACTAAGCAACCAGTCCTAACAACCGGCAAGCCGTTTTCGGTACATTACTTTCGCTGACCAAGTAACGTTCATAAACAATACCACATATAACGCAACCGGGACCATAAACTACGACACAACATATTCACCCCTCACTTACACAATTCTAACTCTCCCTTCTTACCTGTAAAGAGCAAACATATGTCTTTTACCATCACCGTTCGCCACACACACACAGTAATTTCACACTCAAGTGTGTATTCTCGTTCTCTGAACGTGTTCACGCGAGACTTCCCTTGTCCCTGAACACACAGTGTAGCGAACGCGCTCGACCTGCTGGTCGGAGTTAGATACATACTGCTAGATGACACTACATTTTTCAAACAATAAACCAACCTTTCCTTATCATAAAACACAGACGATTTTAACCACATTCTGAACATGAGCTGTACTAAATGGAAATTATGTTAAACATGTAAATAATAATAATAATAATGTAGGTATATCAACCCACTGATGGCTCTGTATGCCACACCTACAACAAATTAATAATTGATTATTAAGATGTAGATCGTTTGCAGTTTGAAACATGGTCATCACATGAAGAGTGTTGCCAGACTCTCTGACAGGTGTTCTGTAGAACAGGTACTATACCTTTCCGGTACGTACATGTTCACACTGATCTGGCCTGCCTCCTATTTCAGACTCTGTGGGTTCGAGCCCTTCTTTGACCCACGGGGGGATCAGTACATGTACAGCAGGATCCTCAACTGCGACTATGAGTTTGTGTCTCCGTGGTGGGACGAGGTTTCCCTCAACGCCAAGGACCTGGTGAGTTCTGCTGTGGCCACACAAAAACACACATTGTGTTTCACTTCATCCATCAATATGTATTTTAGTCAATCAATATATAAATACATGTTATGACTCACAGACCTGCTGCCTCCGTCCTGCACACGTGAAAATTTGTCTTACAAATTGTTTTTAATGCATCAAATGTTCAGTTCAAAGAGATCTCAAAGTAAAATGTTCAGAAGTGTCAGGTCATTGTTAGTGTCACTGACAGCTTTTGGTGGTCTGAATAAATGAGTTGGACTTGGTCGGGACTTTAGACTTGACTTTACCTGATATTTAAAAAAACACTTTAAAACATGTCAGACATGAGTTAGATTTGTCTGAAGTGGACTGAGAGGACTTGAACTTGTTTCCATATAGACTTTAGACTTGACTTGATCATGTTTTTGAATTATTTGTTTGAGAATGACTTGAGATTTGATGTGGACTTGTATCAAGAGACATGGATGTGTTTTAGAAGAGACTTTGAGACTTGGACCTGTGTCATGTTATGTAGATTTGTTTTGAAGGACTTGAGACTTAACCAAGGCTGGTGTATGACTTGGGCTTGGACGTGTCTGTGTGTCTGCAGGTCAGTAAGCTGATTGTCCTTGACCCTCACAAGCGCCTCAGTGTGCGGGAGGCCCTGCAGCACCCCTGGGTGCTGGGTAAAGCCGCTCGCTTCTCTCACATGGACACCACCCAGAGGAAACTGCAGGAGTTCAATGCTCGACGTAAACTCAAGGTGAAGAAGGCGTTTATCTGCAAAGACAGCTGAGGCCTCAAAGACTTAATACAACAGCAACATGAGAGGAGCAGCTACTGTTCACTCAGTTTATGTTCAAACTCCACAGAGTCACAAGGTGGTGAATTAGCTTTAGCTGAGGCTAGCTGTGTAGCTGCTAGCAGTTTGTATCCAATCTACAAACCCAAACTCCCATTTTTCTTTGGTGTAATAATTTAAAACAGATGTGGTTCAGACTCTGGTCTCAGGTCTGACCTGGTCTGTAGTCTGTATGTTCACCTGTAGCTTCATGAGTGTGTGTTGACGGTGAACGTGTGTGTTGACAGGCTGCCATGAAGGCGGTTGTTGCCACCAGTCGGATGCACGAGAGCTCGCGGCGTCGTACGGACAGCTGTGAGATTCCAGGCTCAGGGGCCTCCAGACAGAGCAGTATGCAGCAGGACCTGCCACCTGAACCCACAGGCCCTGCCCCCGCAGACAAAGAGGCCCCACCCCCGGATCAGCAGCTGCAGGACGAAGAATCAAAGCCCGCTGAGCAAAGTGCCCTCAGCCCCTCCCCCCCGCGCAGCCCTAAACCCCCCTGCTCTGACGTCACGCCCACAGGACCCGCCCCCACCAGACCGCCGCTGCGAGCTGACGGGCTGCGACAGGCATCCGTTGCCCCCAAAACCGCGCTGGTCCACCCCCGACTGCCGCAGAAAAGCTGCTCTGTCGTAGAGCCCACCTCCAGGATCGAGGCGACACCTGCATTGGCCACACCCCCGAGTCCCAACAGCCTCAGCAATGGCTTCACGCCAGCGGTGGAGCCGGCCAGTAAGACCGCCCACTGCCAGTGATCACCTGACAAAGAGCAGCTCCTCTGCCTCAGTCTCACACACTAAGGTCTAGCTTCATTTACTGGGACCAAACTAACAGCTACATTTCACCTGGTCACCTGACGTCAGATCAGCTGTTATCTCACATGCTAACATGCTAAATACTGCAGACTCACTGAGGTTTGGTTGGATGTTGTTGCAGCTGGACAGATGTTGAGCTGCAGGTCTTTCCTCTGGAAATTTCAGATACAAAGTATGTCCCAAATCAGATCTCATGAGATCTCATAAGGTCTCATCAGGTCACATCAGATCTCACCAGGTCTCATGAGATCTCATGAGGTCTCATCAGATCTCATCAGGTCTCATGAGGTCTCATAAGGTCTCATCAGATCTCATCAGGTCACATCAGATCTCATCAGGTCTCATGAGATCTCATAAGGTCTCATCAGATCTCATCAGGTCACATCAGATCTCACCAGGTCTCATCAGATCTCACCAGGTCTCATGAGATCTCATGAGGTTTCATCAGATCTCATGAAGTCTCATCAGATCTCATCAGGTCTCATCAGATCTCACCAGGTCTCATGAGATCTCATGAGGTTTCATCAGATCTCATGAAGTCTCATCAGATCTCATCAGGTCTCATCAGGTCTCATCAGGTCTGTTTACTGTGGTAAGAAAAACAGCACTCAGTCAACAACAGTCTTATATGTTTTTATGATTATTGATTATTTATGTCCAAAATCATAATATACAGTATCTCACTGCATTTTACAAGGTAAGGTCGACAGCTTACTTTATTATAGAGAGAAACCCAAGAGTTCCCACAAAGAGCATCACTCGGCGACGGGGAGGAAAAACTCCCTTTAACAGGAAAAAAACCTCCAACAGAACTGGGCTCAGGGTGGGGGGAGGGGGTCTGCCTCGATGTTGGGTTTGAGAGGAGAAAGAGGGGGGTGGGTGAGAACATAGAGGGAGGAGAGAAAGTGTCAGATAATCACCACAGAGGCTGACGTGAACAGTTTGGCTGTTTGTAATTCTAACGCTGTGACCTGAACGCAGCACAATCATAGAATTGGACGCTGAAGCATTTTTAAAAATATGTTCACTCAGTTCACTGCGTCTGTTTCTTACCACAGTTTAAGGTTTTCACTGCTGACTGAGACGCTGCTCAATGTTTGTTCCAAATTGACCTGTTTTTAAAACAAAGCGTTTCATTGGTGGAATCATCTGATCACAGGTATTTACACCTGGTGTTAATCAGTGTTCTCATTATCTGCATGTTGCTGCATCAGATCTCAGTGTAAATGAAGGAGCTGGAGAAATGTCAACAAGGTGAGGGTCGAGTGACAGCTGGAAACACATGGAGGCTAACGAGGCTAATGAAGCTAACCCACAGAAAGCTGGGCTCTACACAGTCATGCTCAGTGTGTTGAATCCTGTTGCTACTTCTTGTCAGAAAGGACTCAACTGATTCCAGGTTAGAGGGTTGATTCAGTCTCTAGTGTCCTCATTTCGTTTATTTTTCCTTTTGTACTCGACCTCACTCAGGATATTTGGGACCCAGGGGCCCAAGGTCCAGAGTCTCTGTTTGATATGACTGTTGATCAACACAGACTCTGGGGGGGGGGTCTTTTATGTCTGTGTTCAGGGGCCGGTTGTGTCATAATCCATCCATGGTCTCTGGCTCTCTCCGGTTTCGAGACCCGGCTTGGTCTTGCAGGACGTAGCCCGTCTCACCTGCTGAGATCTGATCACAGATGTGAGTGAGACTACCTCCAGATGTGGTTGTGGTTCATCTGTAGTCGACCAGTGTCATGGCAGCATCAGTCCTCAGTCCTGATCTGACTCTAAAGCCTCTGAGGTGTCTCTGAGGACAGGGTCTGGTCTGTGGTTTACAGCCAGTCTGGGTTCTGATGTGGGACAGATGAAGACTCTGGTCTTGACTCTTTTTCTCCTGGTTCAGAAGGTGAACTTTTCCTTGGACGCTCAGGACGGAGCTGATTGATTGTATTTTATTAAACTTTATTAACACATGGACACTGGCATGAGGGATGAGGAACTTCATGTTTAGACTGTAACGAGGCGGAGGAGGAGGAGGAAGAGGAGGATTCTGCTTCTGCTTTGAGTTTTTTATCCTTTCTACTCTTTCCTGTCGACTCCCGCTGACTGTCGTAGGTAGCGTAGCTCCAGTCTTTAGCCTTCAGGTGAGTAACATGTTGTGTTCGTGAGCTTCTAGTAAAATTTAGTGTTGTTTACACTTAATCAGCTGTAAGGATGACTTCCTGTTTGCACTGTACATAGTTTGGTTTTAGACAGATGATTATCTTTAGGGCTCCACAAACCCAGAGACATGTTCAGTGTTCAGGCCCAGAAAAACCGAATCTGAATCAAACCTTTTGATCTGATCTGAAACCACACGTCTACCTCTCTCTGTACAGGGGCTTCCAAAACCACAAACACCATGAACCATACTGAGAAGAGACGAGCAGCTGGAGCTGGTGCCGCTCAAATTAAAACTTATTCCACATTGAGACTCAGATCAGCGGTGGCCTGGACAGTCCAAACAGGACCTGAGAAAACAGCAGCGTTCGTCCTCTGTCAGCTGACAGTTCAGTCACTAATCCAGAGGTTGATGGTCCAGATGTTTCTGGGTCTCTGCTCATCAAACATCTAGAGGAGGAACAGACAGAACCTTCCTCACTGAAGCTTTAACCTGTTGACTCTTCATCCTGCTGCAGAGTCAGTCTGAACCAATCAGAACAGAAGAATCTAGAGTCTCCTCCAATCAGAGTTTACCACTATTGTGTAATAAGAAATCTGACACCTATGAAAAATGTTGAAAATTTTAACTATTTTATTTTATTCCAAATGTTCACGTTAGTAGCATTTTCAAAATATATAAATATAAAAAACAGCAGTATCCATATATATATATATATAGTTATAGATACTGTTTTTCAGTGCAAACTCCTTTTGGGGCCTGAGCAATTATGATTTGTTAGAACACCACAGCAACTTCTCAACTAACTGATAAATATCTTTTCAGAATATTAAGAGCAGCAGCGTTTAAACAAATAAGAATTAAGCTGTCTGAAACCAGAGGCACCGCAATTAATGAAATCAATCACTTAATGAAGGGAGATAATATATCACAGGATTAGGTATCTAGCAAAACTGGATCCAGAAAACAAATATACAAAAATAATGTAAAAAACAAATAAATAAAGGGGGATGAGAGGGAGGAGAAAGGAATAAGAACAGCTACATAGTTTAAAATGAGTTAAACCTGTTTTATTCATTTTTATATTTTTTCTCTTCTTTATTTTTGATAAATTCTTTTTCTTCCTGAATTTACTAGTTTAATCAGCTAAAGTTTTTTTTTTATTGTATTTTTTTTATAAAAACCTAAATATAAAAGCCACATTTACTTTTAAAGCCACAAGTGAGTTCAAGTGACTGAATGACACGTCTGTAAATATCAGGACAGAAACATAATCATGGTAAGTTACAGAAGTTATTTGCTTATAATCTTTATATTATCATAGTTTTACTCTGCAGCTCAGAGTCATCATCCTGATGACAGAGAGCAGGAAGTTTGATCCTCAGATACGTGATCAATACAGACCTGGTCTCGTCTGTCTTTCTGAAGGAGCTGTCTGAGTTTTCTCAGGCTGCTGTGCTTTTTGTTCTGTCTCAGCCACCGTACTGAATCCTGGATTGTGAAGAGAAACATTGGTCTTCTTAAAGACGAACCCAACCCACAGACCTGTGGAGCCTCCACAGATCAGGATTCATCCTGATCTGTGCTGGTGCTGGACTGGTTCAGACTGGTTGAACTGGCTCAGATTGGTTGGTTGGAGATGATGTGAGTGTGACAGGTCTTGGGTTGTGGTTTGGTTCCTCTTGAAATAATCTGGTGAAAATCTGAGTTCTGGTTCTCTTCTGCTTGACTGATCTGATCCAGGTGGACTCACCTGTCCCCAGGTGTTTGAGACTTGTTGCCAAATGGAACTCTGGGTAACTAGCTGTCATGGTGAAAGCATGTATACAGTATATTTGATTTACATCTATACTCTTCTGTAAAAACATGAATATTTTTGCTTCTATTTATCTCTGAGGGAGGTGTGGGAGGGGCTAACCTGTAAATGGTGTTTGTTTTGTGTTTGACAGTAAACTTGTACCTTTTTTATTTTGGAGGAGGACATATAAACTGACGGAGGACAGTCACAGCTGTTACAGGTGTATCTCTGCATGTTGTTTATTTTCTGTTGATCATATCAGATTAAAGAGGTTGAAGGTTTGAATCCTGCAGGACTCTGTGACAGCAGCTGATCTGGGTTCAGTCCCTGAGGCAGGATCTCATGTACAGTAAAGGATCGAAGTTAACTCACTCATGGTACCTGGTCTTTTTTTTTGTCTGGAGGACCAACAGATTCTGGACCAAACTCAATCCAGAACAGGAGTTTGAGTGTGAGATTCTACCAGACTGTAATATGTTGTAATATCTGAGCCCATATCTACGGTGGCCTTGATGGGTCAATACAATGAAAATGCAACAACATGAATGCAAATTAAGGCAGTGTCCAAAATCACTCACTACTCCTGAGTTTGCCACCCTATATAATCCGCCTGGTCCGCAAGCAATAATCGTTCCCAGGCAAACAGGACCAATATTATAGACAGACTGCTGCAGCTTAATTTGCATTTGTTTTGTTGCCTTTGCCTTGTGTTGACCCGAATAGATAGATAGATACTTTATTTATCCCCTAGGGGAAATTCATGTCCGTAAGTTTGTTCATCCTCAGACTGAAGAGCAAAAATACTGAGTAAGAAACTTAATGATAATTCATCCACGTATTTAAAATATATCCTTAATCTGACTTTAATAGTAATTATATTTATAGATTTTTTTTTAAATTCTAGTTATGTGATAATACATTTCACCTTGTTGAATATCGCTTTTGGATGTGGTTATAACCGAATTTACTGGCAGGTATCAGCGTTTCTTCTCATATCATATTAAGAACTTCATTCATGGTTCAGATGATGTTGCTTATAATAAACAACTCCGCCTCTTTCACATGAACGCGCTCGTAGCCGGACAGGTAAACCCAGGGTTAACTGAGCCAGTTGATAACCTGCTTCGTAGTACAGGTTATCAGGACAGTCAATGTTAGGTTCAGTTAAGCCCAGATAACTAAAAGTTATCCTGGGTATGTTGGGTATGTTCCAGTATGTTCGGGTCTGTACTACGAAGCAAGTTCAACTAAACCTAATCGTCATAAATAGAGGTCATCTTTGTTCACTTACGACTCAACAGCTGATCATCATTGGACCAATAGAAACACTGCTGCACTGTGTGGTATTTATTCTACCGCGTGTCTTCACTTCATTATCTGATCAATATTTATTAATCACCCATATCAGACAAATTCAGATATTTTATTGTTACTGATCATTCTTCCTGCTGGATTCACAACAAACTCAGTGAGCTCATTAATTAATTACAGTACAAAAGTTCAGACAGCTGCTGGTCTCTGAGTCCTGAGCCCAGGCTGGATCAGTCAGTCCTGTGAGCACAGCTTCTCTCTGTAAACCTGTCCCTCCTGGATCGTCCCACACCAGTATGTGGAACTGGACCTCCACTCTGCAGCCGCCACCTCCCACACTGAGATGGCGCTGTAGGCTCCACCCTCCTCCTCCGACCTCATCACGGACACGTCGGCCCCTGACGTCGTCACCACGGTGTCATCGACCCACCACAGGACGTCCTGCAGAGGGGACTTTAATTCAGAGAGGACGCAGACCAGCAAGTGAGGAGATCCTGGATCCTGAGAGATCGGGACTAAGGTAAGGATCTGAGCCGTCGGACGAATGGAGGATGAGGAAGATGAGGAACCTGAGGACGGAGAGATGATGGTTACAGAAAACAATTTAGACACCAGTGAAAGTTCTGCACATTTTATCATGAACTGTTACACACACTGTCCTGCTGCCCCAAATTCATCTGCCATCGAAAATAGTCCACAACAAATCAGTCCTGACATCTACAGTCAAAAGTCTATTAGCACAGACAGTTTGTCCACATGTCTTCATATTAAATAAATTATCAAATGTTATTGAGCTTCATCTGCTCAGCTGTTGTTACTCAGATTTAAACCAAACACCTTTTATATGGTAAAAAAAAAAACTTTTTTTAAAAAGGAAAATCCCCAAAACATAATTAATATTAAACAATGACTGACCTGTTTAATCTGATCATGTCTATAAATGAACTAAACGAGGAAAAAGCTACTGATTTAATTAAATCTTAAATGTAAACATCTGTTCTGTTAAAAGAGGACGAGACATGAGGCTGGACGGACTGAATAGCTGGATGATCATAAGAATAAGTATATTTATTTTTTCTTATTTCAAAGACAGACACAGTCAGATCATAGGATGAAAACAGAAACACAGTCTGCACCTTTAAATGATCTGAACATCGTTACTGAGGCTTCTGATGAGAATATGAACAAACTGGAGTCACGTGACAGAAAACTTCCTGGACACAGAAACACTGTCAGAGATGTTTCACCACATCATCATTTTGTTCCTCAGTTTTGTAAATACTACATTACCCATGGGCCTCAGCAGCTGTTGCTGTGTAAAACTATCAACCCACAGTGCTGCTTTTTCATTTATCAACTTTTTCACAACAAACCTCTCAGACTGAAGATCAGAGAAACAAACCATTTGTCTTGTTCTGATGATGAATATCATCACGGTCAGCTGTTTGTTCACCAGTGTGCACCAGCAGCTGAATCCCTGCACTGAAGACCATGGAGAAAGAGACAGACTGTCCTCTGGTCCACACACAACATCTACAGCAGCAGGGAGGAGACACACACACACACACACACACACACACACACACACACACACACACACACACACACACACACACACACACACACACACACGGTATTGAAGGAGCAGTTCTTAATCTTAATCATCATCATCATCATCATCATCAGTTAAAGGAGCAGTTGATCAGTTTGTGTGGAGCCTCACCCCAGGAGGATGATGAAGGTCACTGCCGGGTCCATCCTGAAGACTTGTCCTCCTCTCTGTCTCAACAATCAGCACAGGGACGGCTCTGAGACGGTCCTGGTCCTGGTCCTGGTCCTGGTCCTGGTCCTGATCTGAATCCAGGACGATGCTGAAACATATCAGGTTGTTCTGAAGTAACATGATGATGTTGAAATTTTTGAGTCACCATGGCTCACTTTACTTTACTACAAACATGTTCCTAAGAAATTAATTCTATTTAATGATGGTTTCACCATAAATTAAATCTATTTCACAACCTTTAATGGAGTCCCATTAAGAGCGGTTTCATCTTAATTAAAATTCCTTTCCTTAAATAAAATCATCAATGAATTACTTAAAACATATAAAAAAATTGAAATAAATAGTTAAACTCCTCCTATATATGTTGTTTAGCCTAAAGTTTAAATTAAATTGTTTAAATTAAAGTTTTAATAATGTAATTTTTCTGCTAATGATCTTTTTAACCTTAAAGAAACTCCACAATAATGCACATTTTTACCTTGAATAAAATGACTCATGGTGGTTTTTATAAAAGAAAAAAAAACATAATAATTATTATTAAATTATAATTATTAATTGTGCTTACACTTATGTTTAAAGTCATAATAACTAGGTTTTTTTTAACATTCATCCAAAATAAAAGTTCCCATGACCATACCTTAAATAAAAGTCCTTATATATTTTTAATTTTACCTGATGTCTGTCGTGGTGTTTGCTGCTGTCAGTCCGAAGCCTGTAGATCTTCTCAGTGAGTGAACGTCTGTCATCAGGAGATGTTTTGTCTGGAAAACAGAAACATGAGAAACTGTTGGAGCAGAAAACCAACAGTCTCCAGAGGAGAGAGACTGCTCTGGGATCAGATCGACCGTTAGTTCAGTTGGTTGGTGAAGGACAGAAAAACAGGAAATTTTCTCTCTGATGTTGTTGCCTCGACTGATGGCAGCAGTGTCACCGAACACAGACACACAAATACAGAATAAACAGTAGCACAATATTTTAAAGGTCATCCATAGAAAAAGGTCAAACTACACACAGATAAATGTGTTGTAACAGATTAAAAGGTTCATTCACTCAATCATTTTCCAGAGGAGAGAAGAGAGGATGTGTTCAGCAGAATGAGAGGCAGACTGAAAAGAAACTAAGGCAACAAAATTCAAAAGCTAAACACACTGAATACATTATAATCCCCCTGATTACATACGTTTGTACATATATTGAAATGCAGTGAAATGTTTTCTTTCCTTTCTGCTCATTATCAGCTGCCTCTGGACTGTGAAACTATGAAACAGTTGGACAGGTCTCTGGAGAAGAAGTCAGTTGCTCCAGTTGAACATAAAACTGTTGACAGGTTTTACAGTGAAGCTGCAAACTGTATTTAGCAACAATGACAGGATGAGATCCGGCGATAAACAAACAAATTGGTGTCGCAGCAACAAGTGCAGTGGAATAATTTAACGGTCACCGTGAGAGGTATTAAAAGTCCAAAATAGTCCAGAAAATAATCTTTGAATAAAAGGGCAAACCAGTAAAACATCTTAAAAGAATAAATTCAATTAAAAGCCAGAATGAAAAGGTAGGTCTTGAGTTTAATTTTAAAAGTATCAACACTTCCTGCAGCATTACAATAGTCAATTCTGGAAGTAGTAAAAGCGTGTAGTAGTGTCTCTGTACTGGCTTGAGAGAGGAATGGTCGTACTCTGGCAATGTTCTTTAGATGATAAAATGCTGTCTTTGTTAGATTCCTGATGTGGGGCTCAAAACTGAGATCTCAGTCAAAGATGCCTCCTGGGTTTTTTACTTGATTACTCGGGTTGAGTGCCAGTGCTTGCAATTTGACATTGAGTTTCTCTCTCTGAGCTTCAGAACCAATGACTAAGACGTCTGTTTCTCCTGACTGAGTTGTAGGAAGTTCTCTGCCATCCATAACTTGATATCCAAGATACAGTTAAAAAGGCGTCGATTGACAACTTACTTACAACTTACTCGGTTGATCATTTTCAAGCGCGCCGTCATCCATCTTGAAAATCTACAGCACCTTTCAGGATTTGCCAATGAAGGCAACAGAACCACCTGCCCTCTGAGGTTTTGAAAAAACGGCAGGATTTGTACTTCAATGTCACAAGCTGTGCGGGAACTTTGAGCACTGAGTTTTATACAGTTTTTTGTACACAGCTCTGTATCTGTACACAGATGTCGACAAAAGCCCTTCTTCTTTCACAGTGTCGTGTGTTTCCTCACCACTGACATCATTCAACAAACATATCGCTTTCAGTGATTCAGCAAAAACAAAATCTGTTCAATTTATTCAGCGTCTCAAATTTGTGCTGAGTCTCCCTCTTCCCAAACAAAACAATAAGGATCAATGTTTCATGAAATTCAATTCATTTCTTTTACCAGAGACAGTAGACAGTATAGAGGATCTTTGCTTTTACCATGCCAGTGAGACATCTTCGCAATCAAATAGGATCTCTGATAGAGTACCTCTGGTCCCGGGAAGTTGATTTCTTTGTGCAAACAGGATCTAAGAGGACAAGGGTTCCTGGATATCGGCGTGATATGGCAAGCAATTTTAACATTTAATGGCTAGTCTGGATATGTATTACAGATATCCGTAATTTAATTCTTCCTAGTCAAAATGAACATTTCAGATATCCACAATGACATTCTTTCCATACTATTGATAGCGTTAGTTCATTTTTTGAACATTTTAAACTAAAATTCTGGCCAGATGAGGTGAAATGCTGCCCCCTGTGGAGGTGGAGAAAGTAGCACAATCTTACACATCACGCCTTTAAGTGAAGGTTAAAGACCAACAACAGCTGCAAGTTTAAGTTACTAATAAACAATAATCACAACATTCATAGATTCAAGATACAGCTCATTCATTTGGAATCAATCTTGATTAAACAAGAGGCTTAAATATTACACGTTATTCCTGTGCCTAAGGACAGATCCGTCTGTATTATCTGTCCTACAGATAGAATTCATCAGGCTCTTCCACAGACAACACAAGAGACACTGACTTTGTTTTAGTATTAGTGGAGGTGTATTACATTAAAATATCGATTAAATGTCACAAGTGACAAATGAAAATGTGGAATGCAGGATTTACATCACTCTATTTCATTGACATCAAATTTTTTTAATATGTTTTTATGTTCATTTGATGTCTTTTCATGTGATGCACTTCCATTTCATATTTTGCCTCACAGTGTTTACAAACCTGAAAAAGTGCAATTTTGCCAAATGACATTTACATGGGAGACAGTGACTAAACTCAAACTCAAACTGGACACAACAAAAACTGAACAAACTTGTTTAATAAACTAATTAACGATACATTTATTGAATTACTTGTCATCGCACAGGTATTTATATTTTTCTGTTCATTCAGTCAGTTGACCAGATTCATAGTCCTATAATCTGAAATAAGTTTTAAAACACAATCAGAAAAATCAAAGCTATTCTGCAACAGAAACCATCTAAAGCTGAGACTCTAAATCCTAAAATGGAAGTCAAAGTAAAATCTGCTCAGTCTGGACAAGTAGACCAGGAATCAGGTCTAAATTCATGTCTCTGTGAGTCTCTGAGTCCCTGCTGATTTGTTCTTGGGCTCCTGTCCCTGACTGATCCCACAGTAATAAACTGCAGAGTCACTGTGCTCCGAGCGTCGCAGCAGCAGAGAGCCGTCGGCTGTAGCAGACACTTTATCAGGACTGACACCAGAGCCGAATTTCACATGAGAGCTGTTGGTAGACCTGATGGTGAGGAGCAGCTGAGGACTCCCTCCTGTCACCTTCCTGTACCAGCTTAGAGTGGAGTAGGCAGGTGGGGCAGCTGTGGTGGCATTGTCCAGCAGGGGGCACTGTAGGGTGGCATCCTCCCCTACTCTCACCTGGACCGCGGAGGCTGGCAGAGCAGCGGACTGGTGCCCCCACCGGAAACCTTAAAAACAACAACACAGTTTATAGACAGTCAGGACGTACACACACACACACACACACACACACACACACACACACACACACACACACACACACACACACACACAAACTACTACATTTGTGACTAATTAAAATTGAAATTGATTAAAATGATTAGATTTACAGCCCTCCCTGACTCAGAATAAAGAACTACAAATGAAATCATTTAGTGAGTTTTGTCATCATTTTGTCAGATGTCAAATATTGTGCTGTATATAAAGTAATGGTTATTCAATTAGTCACTGGACAGAAAAATAATCAGCAACTAATTGAAACTCGTCATTTTCCAAGCAAATGATACAACAATGATAAAAAAGATTTTCCTGTTCTTCTCTATATATTACTAATGTAATCATATTAATAATATAATTACTAATATTAATATTTTATAATAACATTGAACATTTGACATGTGTAGTAAAATATATTCAAAAATATTGTGACTGCAGTAGATTAGATTTTTCAGTATATATTTATATTATGATTATTATTCTCAAATATTTCCTATTATGAAAATCAGAAATTAGTGTGTTAGGCCTGATTTTTTTCAACAATAATACATAATTTGTATAATATATATATCTGTCCAAATATGGAAATATTTTGAACTTATTAAATTACATTAAGTACATTATATTTTGCAATAAATCTTAATAAAGTTTGACTCCTCAGAGTATTCTCCAGATGTCTCAGGGAGATGTTTTTATTCCTTTAGACAAAGAAGCTTTAATTTGAAGGGATTTTCAGCATAAAATCCTCTAAAATTGGCCTAAACTGACAAACAGCTCTTTAGTCTGTCAACGCCTGCTTTTTTAATCACCACATTAACGTTTGAAACATCCATCAGAGTGAATGTTATAAAGAGACATTAAAGAGACTCACCGCTGAGAGAGACGAGGATCAGACAGACCAGCACAGACTCCATCATCAACTGACAGAGGAAACTGCTGCGGCTGTTGCTGTTAGAACCAGCAGAGCGTTTCAGACAAAACAACACCTGACAGCTTCACTGCAGGGACACGTGGGACTGTGGACAGGCTGGGTATTTGTCTCTGACTTTGGAAAGCTTCTGTTTAATAGTGATAATTTTGTATTGCGGTGTATTTCAATGTCAATGCTAACCCTAACCCTTCAGATTTTTTTTCATGTCTACCCTTTTTCACCCTGTCAGTTTCATACCATTAACTACAGGTTAGCTAACTGACTTGTATTAGCTAAAGTTAGCTCTTTTTCCAGCTGACACCGACCAAGACAGCACAACGTCCGTTAAAGGCTAACTTTAGCCTAGCCTGGTCCTGGCGGAAGAGACAAGCAGACTTACCTGTGGTTGTAGAGGTCCAGGTGAACTTGAGGAAGCCCAGGTATATGTTCCTGTCTGCCTTCTGAATATAAATAAATCACTTGCTCTTCCCCTCAGTACGTAGGTTGTGTAGGTAGAGAGAGAGAGCGCGTGTGAGTGGGAGAGATGAGCTAGCGACCAGAACAGAGTTGGCTAGTTAGTTCGCAGTTAGCAGGTTAGCTGTGAAAGTACAGTGCCATGTTTGTGCACTTTAAGCTGCTTGTAGTTTGTGCTACAACTACAAGACCCAAGTTCCTGCGTCTCCTCTGTGCTTCAACTACAGTTGAGACTCTGAGCCAGGAAGATTAACAACACTGAGGCAGGTAAATACAGGATTCTGCACTGTCATTGGAGTGAGTCATTGTCATTCATTCATTCATTTTCAACCGCTTATCCTCTAGTAGGGTCGCGGGGGGGGGGGGGGGCTGTCCCAGCATCCTTTCGGGCGAGAGGCGGGGTACACCCTGGACAGGTCGCCAGTCCATCGCAGGGCAAACACACAGAGACAGACAACCATCCACTCTCACAGTCACACCTATGGTCAATTTAGAGTATTCAATCAGCCTAGTCTCCATTTGCATGTCTTTGGACTGTGGGAGGAAGCTGGAGTACCCGGAGAGAACCCACACAGGCACGGGGAGAACATGCAAACTCCACACAGAAAGACCCCGTGTCGGAGCCGGGACTCGAACCCGGAACCTTCTTGCTGTGAGGCGACAGCGCTAACCACTGCATTACCGTGCCGCCGAGTCATTGTCAGTTAATGGTAAATATTTTGAAGATTACCATAGATGTGATATATTTCCTCCATACTGCACATGTGATATGTTTACTGTCAGTTCAGAAGAATAATCCTAAAACTTGTTCAGACAGGAAGGAGGAAGGTGAAGATGTCCAGGCAGAGAGCAGCAACTGTCAACACAGGAGTGACACACAGAGGCAGGACAGGTCCTGAGTTCAAGATGGACCTGCTACTGCTGCTGTCATGAAAAGGTATGTTTCAGTCTGGTCTATATTTTTTGTCATTGGTTTAGTAAACAGCTGAATCACACAGTGAGTTGGGTGTGGGGGGTGGAGCCCTCTGCTCTGTATAAGTCACTGCACGCCACTGGTAGAAAATTAAACCAGAGTTTGATGATGCAGACCTGTATTTCTCTAAAATTCGACATGGATCCTTTTAGTTGATTAATAGAATTTGATAAATTTTGAGAGGTGGGGGGCTGTGAACTTTTTCCAGCTTCTTGAAGAGATGCCATGCTGAAAAACTTTGAGGACCTCTGGTTTATTATCAAGTCTGACAAAGAAAAACATCAAATCTTCACATTTATTTTGTATCTGCTTAAAAAACGACTCAAACTTTTCTTCCAATATGAGAACAGTTGCTGATTAATGGACTGATCTCTGCAGCTCTACATTAGATTGATAAATAGATACAAACCCCAATTCCAAAGAAGTTGGGACATTGTGTAGAATGTAAATAAAAACAGAATACAGTGATTTGCAAATCCTTTTTGACCTACAGTCAATTGAATACACTACAAAGACAAGATATTTAAAGTTCAAACTGAAAAACTTCACTCATTTTGAATATCATGCCTGCAACACGTTCCAAAAAAGCTGGGACAGGGGCATGTTTACCACTGTGTTACATCACCTTTCCTTTTAACTACACTAAATAAGCGTTTGGGAACTGAGGACACTAATTGTTGAAGCTTTGTAGCTGGAATTCCCTCCCATTCTTGCTTGATGTACGACTTCAGTTGCTCAACAGTCCGGGGTCTCCGCTGCCGTATTTTGCTCTTCATAATGCGCCACACATTTTCAATGGGAGACAGGTCTGGACTGCAGACAGGCCAGTCTAGTACCCGCACTCTTTTACTACGAAGCCACGCTGTTGTAACTCGTGCAGAATGTGGCTTGGCATTGTCTTGCTGAAATAAGCAGGGACGTCCCTGAAAAAGACGTCGCTTGGATGGCAGCATATGTTGCTCCAAAACCTGTATGTACCTTTCAGCATTAATGGTGCCTTCACAGATGTGCAAGTTACCCATGCCATGGGCACTAACACACCCCCATACCCTCACAGATGCTGGCTTTTGAAATTTGCACTGATAACAATCTGGATGGTCCTTTTCGTCTTTAGGCCGGAGAACACGATGTCCATGGTTTCCAAAAACAATTTGAAATGTGGACTCGTCAGCCCACAGCACACTTTTCCACTTTGCGTCAGTCCATCTCAGATGAGCTCGGGCCCAGAGAAGCCGGCGCTGTTTCTGGGTGTTGTTGATATATGGCTTTTGCTTTGCATGGTAGTTTTAACTTGCACTTGTAGATGTAGCGTCGAACTGTGTTAACTGACAATGGTTTTCCAAAGTGTTCCTGAGCCCATGTGGTAATATCCTTTACAGAATGATGTCAGTTTTTAATGCAGTGCCGCCTGAGGGGTCGAAGGTCACAGGCATTCAATGTTGGTTTTCGGCCTTGCCGCTTACACGCAGAGATTTGTCCAGATTCTCTGAATCTTTTGATGATATTATGGATTGTAGATGATGAAATCCCTAACTTCCTTGCAATTGTACGTTGAGAAACGTTGTTATTAAACTGTTGGACTATTTGCTCACGCAGTTGTTCACAAAGTGGTGAACCTCGGCCCATCCTTGCTTGTGAATGACTGAGCCTTTCGGGGATGCTCATTTTATACCCAATTATGACACTCACCTGTTTTCCAATTATCTGTTCACCTGTGGAATGTTCCAAACAGGTGATTTTTGAGTATTCCTCAACTTTCCCAATCTTGTTTCAAATATTTTTATTGTGAAGCAGACAGTATATCAAAAATACCTCCATCTTTGGTTTATGCAATGCTTCATTATTTTGTAATATAAGTAACAAAGGTGTCCTACAAATAAGTAAATAAATGAAAAACAATTGATGGGAGAAAAATTTGCAAAATATACAAAAATAAGTAAATAAATACATTTATTAAAATAAAATAAATAAATAATAACTCCCTCCCTGACCCAGCCCGTCCGGCCCACCCAGTACTACTACATCCTGTTTCAAGAAAGAAATAATTGGTTGCCACATCCTTTTGAAGTCTTCCAACCTACCACTAAGAGAATAACGAATCCTTTCAAGGTGTAATGTATTAGTCAGTGCCGTTAACCATGCTTTGAAAGTAGGTGTCTCCGTTTTTTTCCAATGGAGGAGAACAAGTTTTTCCACAGAGGAGACCATAGGATAGAAGGTGGCGCTGCATATTTGTGGTTCCCAATGCTCCCTGATGTCCCTAGTATAATCAAGAGTGGATCTGGTCGTAATGTAGTCTTGAAGACCTTTGAGAAAAAATGAAAACACTGCTGTCCAGAAATTTTCTAGTTTGGGGCATAGTGTGTAACTGTGAAGTAGATTTGCCTCCGCTTGGTTACATTTTTCACAGATGGGTGATATTTCTGGGAATATTCTATGTAGTTTTACTCTTGAGTAATGCAGCCTATGCAGAATTTTAAACTGGATCAGGCGTGTCTAGCATTCAGGAGCTAGTGTTGATATATCTCAGGCTTTCCTTCCATATATCCTCCGCTATCCCCGTACCCAATTCTTTTTCCCAGCCTTCCTTTATTTATTCCGTGTTCACCTGGTCTAGCTCCTGAAATGAATCGTATATAACTGAAACTGCATTCCTCTCCATTGTGCAATCTCTGAGACACCTGTCTAGCTTGTCAGGGGTGGCATTTTCAAAATGCTCCAGATGTGTCCTTACAAATGTCTGATTTGGAGATATCTAAAAAATTCCCTTTTTGACAGACCATATTTCTCTTGTAGTTGTTGAAATGATGCAAATGAACCACTAACATAGAGATCACCCACACTGTGCAGTCCAAGTTCTTTCCATCTATCAAAGCCTCCATTTACAATAGAAGGGGTGAATGATGGATTTGCTGATATTGGGAGTGTAAAGGATAGCTTCCTAAGCTTGAGTTGTTTTGATATTTGCCTCCAGATTTGAATAGTGCTGTATATAATTGGGTTGTAGCTATAGTATGATTTTTTTTAAGGTGGATGGGAGACATCACAATAGCACAGATCGAATAGGGAAAACAATCCTCTCACTCCATGTCCAGCCAGCTGGCGAGCACAACTGTCTCATCCAGCCAGTAGGAGATGCATCGGATATTTGCTGCCCAATAATACCTGACAAAATCTGGGAGGGCCAACCCACCATTTGTTTTTGTAAAGGCAGGTGTGTGTGGATCCAAGTGCAGAGAGAGTCAGGCAGAAGTACAATGTCTGAAATTCAAATTTTTAATCCAAGAAACGTAGCAGAGGTCAAAATACCAAGAGACAGTCAGACCAGGCAAAAAGGCAGATCAGGAACAGGCAGAATCGAAAAAAAAAAAACCAAAAACAGATCATACACAGGGAATCAATCAGGACTTAAACGCGAGAGAGCTTGAACACAAGGGTAACAAAGACAATTTGGCAAAGACATGGGAAATGAGGCGGGGTTTAAATACACAGGAAACAAGACACAGGTGAAAGACATTAGGGTGGAGACAGCAATCAAAACAGGAGGGAAAAACCAGGAAGTAAACC